ATAGGGTACCTTTGATCAGGGGTCTGTACTTAAAGCCATCCACAAGGTTCCCTTTGTTGCTTTGGTCCCTGATCCTTACCCACAGTCTTTTGACCTGCTCGTGGCTACTCTTCGGAGACAGCACTTCACACTCAGTCTACCTCCTGATGTAGAGGACGACCCCTCTGCCTCTCTCTTTCCTCACCTGTCTGTTCTGGAGAGCCTGTAGCCATCAATAGTCACACTCCAGTCACATCCCACCAAGTTTCTGTAATGGCAAGAAGATCATAACTTTCTAGGAGCACAGTGGCTTCCAGCTTCTGTTTGTTGTCCATTCTGTGTGCTTGGGTGAGCAATGTCAAACTGACTGAATATACAGAGAGTTGAGACATACTAAGAGCCATGATACAAAGCAAGGCAAGATCATTTTGTTAACATTCTTAAGGGCTCATCTGGTATCCTCTCTCTGTAATTGTTTTCTACATTGTTCAGATCATACACTGACAAATAACTTCTGTGGAGTCATGCAGCAATTGGAAATTATACTAGTGCAGTACTAAATGCATTATTTTAATGCCAATAATGAAATTCAGCACCTTTAAGACAGATAACAAATTCAAAGAATGTGGCCTGTTTCTAAATCACTTGTGTCTGTCATCCTAAACAAAAAATGTATTACATGTATAAGTCATTAAGCCACAAGGACAGAAAAGTCTGACCTTTAATGGCCTCAAAAAATGACAGTACCAAATGGCTTTGAGAAGGTCAAGTCTGATTTAAATTGTTGATGAATTGGAAACTAATTGACTGGAACTGAATATTACGTAGGAAGAGCAGTATATACTGTAGTTTAGAACCTAGTGAACATATTAATAATCAGTAAAAATATTTTTCTGGCCATCTCATGTAAAATTGTAGAGGATTCCAATATATAAAAATTTGTAACAGTTACTTTCCTCTTACTGTGGCTGAGATGCCACAGGTTGTTCAATGATGTGATGCTCAGCTTTCTTTCATAGAATGTTTGATGATCTGTCATACTTGGTATCACTAAAGTGTAAAGACAGTTGTACAAATCATGAATAAACTTAGAGAAAAAAAAGTAATTAACATCTTAAAAATGAAATCCACCATGATAAGTCCTCCAATTAGAAATTTCATTATTTCCCTGGTCTATTTGATGTTGTATATCTGGGTTTATTGCCAGATACCTGAAAGCCGGGTTGGATATCAGCCACAACTGTCAAAAAATTAACAGTTCTGGGTATTTGAATGTTAGATTGTGATGTTTCTTATGAAAATTTCATGAAGAGCATTCATTCAAAGAGATTACATGCTTAAGGCAGATGGATGGAATTTAATTGCCCTTATTAAAAATAAGAAAGGGAGGCTCTTTACTACTTCATCCTATTAACAGTCAAGATAGATTATCTTTGTTGTACACTTAGGTATTTGCAAAAGGGACACTAGGATTTTCTGTATAAGCCAAATAGGAAAGATAAGGTCATAAAAATCCTGTTCCGTGTCACAAGTCAAATATTGTCAGCTAATACCAAAGCAAAGACTTTTTTGTAAGTAGATATGAAATACACCTTTTTTTAGGAAGAGCCTGTGGCTGGTGAATAATTTGGAATTTATCAGCTGATTGGTAGAAATCCTAGTTCTGAAGAGTCATGGAAGCTTTCTGAATAGTTGTGTTCACTGTACCAAGGCCCTGGAATTGTTGGTGAATTTGGTGCAGATTATTTCTCCCCTGTTCTTCCTGTTGCAGGTATTAGCCTTGAAAGAAATACATGGATCCTCATGGTTCCATTACTAGTGTCATCACCAAAATGTTGGTTTCCTTGATAATGGGATGGCCTATATATGTGGCACCAGCTTGCTGGATGAAGGCACTAGCTTGCTGGGATTCAGCTCTTTCCAAGGGCGAAGAGATTCTTTGGTGAAGGGCTGGCAGGGCTTATTGATAGGGGTTTAAATTAGATTTGACAAGGGATGGAGGTATCATCAGGTTTAATAGTGATAAGGTCTGGGACATGCCTTCACACACATACTAGTTAGATGGCTGAGCCAGAAAGAGCCTGGAGAAGGTATGCAGGTCAGCAGCAGAGCACCAAGTCATTCCAGCCACACTAGACAGAAAGTCAGCTTCATTAGGGAGCAACTTAAAACCCCTTTGTGCTAATACATGCAGAATGGGTGGTACTAGAGATGTGTAGATGACTGCATGCACACCTCTCTATGACTTTAATTGGCATCATGGAAACACAACAACCTCTCTTATGATTAGAGTGTTGGGAGGAAAGAATGCAGCCACTACACATCACATTAGAAAACTCGTGGCAGTCTGGTGAAGTTCCCACCAACAGGAAAGGGGAAAACATGAGCCCGCTTTTAAAAAGGGAGATAAGGAAGACCAAAGAACTACAGGCCAGACAGTCTCCTATCAGTGCCTATAGAGGTCAGAACAGATGGAACAGATCCTCCTGGAAAATATGCTAAAATGACACTGAAAATAATTAGGTGATTGGCAACAGCCAACATGGCTTCACTAAAGGCAAATCACACCTGACAAATTTGGTGGACTTTTAGGATTGCATTACAGCAATGTTGAACAAGGAAGGGCAGCAGAAATCATCTATATGGATTTGTGCAGAGCATTTGACACTCTCCCAAATGTCATCCTTGTCTCTAAACTGGAGAGGCATGAATTTTGGCAGGTGGAACTCTTGGTGGATAAAAAATTGGCTGGATGATGGCACTCCTTGAGTTGCAGTCAACAGCTCAACATCTAGTTAGAAACTAGTGTCAGCTGAGGGAGGATCCTCAGGGATTCATTTTGGGACCAGTGCTACTTGGCACCTTTGTCAGCAACATGGGCAATGGGATTGAGTGCTCCTTTAGCAAATTTGCCAATGACACCAAGATGTGTGATGGGGTCAACACACTGAAGGACATGGATTGACCTTAACAGGCTTGAGAGGTGGAAGCTGAGGAAGTGCAACAAGGCCAAGTGAAAGGTTCTGTACCTGTGTTGGAGTCATTCCAAATAACAATACAGACATAGTAGAAAATGGATTAAGGCTTACTCTGGGAAGAAAGACAGGATGTTTGTGGGTGAAAAGTTTGATATGACCCTGCAATGTATACTCGCAGCTCAGAAAACAAACCTTATCCTGGGCTGCATCAAAAGAGACATGTCCAGGAGGTCAAGGGATATGCTTATACCCCTCTATTCTTTTGTTGTGAGACTCCCCCCTTGAGGTATTGCGTCCAGCTCTGGAGCCTCCAACACAAGAAAGACTTTGGTTAGTTAGAATGAGTCCAGTAGATAGCCACAAGTTGATGAGACATCTGAAATACCTCTTCTACAAAGAAAAGCTGAGACAGTTGGGGCTGTTCAGCTGAGAAGGGAAAAAGCTCTGGAGACCTTCTTATGCTTTCCAGTAACTAAAGGGGGCCTACAAGAAGGCTGGAGAGGAGCTTTTCAAAAGGGATAGGAAATGGGGATTTGCCCTAAGCTGAAGGAGGGTAGATTTTGATTAGATCTTAAGAGGAAAAGCTTTACTCTGAGGGTGGTGAGGCACTGAAATAGGTTGCTCAGACAGGTTGTGGATCCCCATCTCTGAAGATGTACAAGACCAGATTGGATGTATCGCTGAGTAATTTGGTCTAGTGGAAGAGATTTCTGTCCGTGGCAGAGGGGTTGAATGTAGATTTTGTTTAAGGTCCTAAACCATTTTGTTTTCTGAGTGCAGTTGTATTGGAAGCAGTTAAGTAGCTCTTGAGCAACATTGCACCCCAGGAACTAGAAAGATCTGTAGGCTGTGTTTGCTTGCTATACATTCTTTAAAAGTCTGTAGACTTATCTGACATCTTTGAAGATGTGACACTTCTTAACTAAAGAGAGTTAATGTTGAACAATTTCTCCTGTTAGTTTTATCCTCTAATCAATTGCTTGTCAGTAATGATTAGTCAAGACATTAAATAACATGTGGCTTATAATTAGTGTAGATCCTCTTTCTTTGGTTATTTTTGATTTTCATTTTTGAATGGAATTAATATTATTTTGCAATAAAAATATTTTTGCCATTGCAGCGGAAATGAGAAGCGAGATTGCATATTTCAAGCGGGTTATTTTAGCTATGCAAACTTGATTTCTGAGACATTTCCTGACCCTGCTGTGCTTTCAGTGTTACTTGCTAGCAGTTGTCACATTATGAAGGCCAATTACTCTTGTACAATATTTTTCAATATTTCAGTTATTAATATTAACCACACTAGCATGAGGATTTTTGGCTGTATTTGAGTATTTTAGTAGACACTGTTGTTTCTGTTCAATATCATTGTATCATGCCACTTTATCTTTGCTATCCACAGAGCTCCAGTGTATAGAATTTCTCAGTGTTTTGCAGTCATATAATGTATTCATTTTCACAGCACTCCCCTGTAGCAGTAGAGCACTGTCAAGTCCATCTCTAAGATGGACAATCAAAACACAGGGCCAATAGATGTTGAGAAACAGCAGATAAGTAATAATGATAGAAGCAAGAAACATAACTTAGGTCTTCTGAGTTAGTGGCCAGATCTTACAATGAATGATGATCCTTCCTTATGTACTTCTCTGGTATAAAGAGGAGTTTTCCTTAATGTTGGTAGATTTGATAATGGTAACTTGATATTTCACATAAAATAGTAAGGACTCCTGCAAGAAGGGCAACACAGTGTGGTATGGTACCATAGTATGAGTCCAATGATTGCATGCTAGGTAGTGTATCTCATCTGATTTTATAAAGTTTATAGCCATTTTTAATAAACTTTCTCTTTTGTATCAGCATTTTGATCAATTGTTTGTTGTGTAAAAATAAGTCAGTGATCACTGAATGTTAAGCAGGATGATGATTTGGGCTTTCACGCACCACTGCACAAGTGACACGAAATCCCTCAAGTCATAAATAAATAACTTTCTTTTTATTTATTCTTTATAAATTTCTTTTGCAGAGGATCAAATTCCTCGAGGTTTTCCAACCATTGATATGGGCCCACAGCTGAAGGTGGTTGAACGAACTCGTACAGCTACCATGTTATGTGCAGCCAGTGGCAATCCTGATCCTGAAATAACTTGGTTCAAAGATTTCTTACCTGTGGACACAAGCAACAACAATGGCCGCATCAAGCAGCTACGCTCAGGTAGGGTCTCGTTACTGTTTCCACTGACGCCCACAGTTGTTCTCTCTCACTTTTTCTTTCTTTTCTTTCTCTTCCTTTTTTAAAAAAAATTTTATTTATAGGTAATAATTTCTCTTTTCCCTCTCCTTTTCTGTGTTACTAAGTGTGTTGTCCATGTCTGTGATGTTGTCATAGCTTTCTATAGAGTCTGTCTCTGTGTTTTGCAGCTTCTGTTTACTCCACATTGCTCACTGCTGTGACTGTATTTTTTGATAATTTTTTTCTTTACTGCTTTTTGCAGTACTTGATGGATCCATTTTCTCCTCTTTCTTTCTTCTTTCCTTTTAATTTTTTTTAAACAAATTTATTTCAACATTGGACTTCATTCAGAAATTGCAAGGAGTACCAATGGTTATATTCATCAAAATCAAAACCTGCATTAGACACTTCAATTAAAATCTAAAATGTGTTTATTGCTGTCTTTTCCACATTTGACTTCACCAAAGATTAGCCAGTTTGGACACATCTTCTTTCCTCTCACAAATACATAAAGCACAGTACTTCTTCCCATGCAGATTTATACCTGGAAAAAAAAAAAAAAAAAAAGGAAATGAAATCTTTGGGAAATCTATGGAACAAAGTTGGGGGTTTTTTGCTGGCTGAGCATTTTTCCAACACATTTAGCCACAGTAGTGTGCGTCCACGCTAAAGCTTTATGAATCCTATATTTTCTGGATCTACAGAAGTCTGCTTTTGGTGTAGATTCCAGCTTTTGCTGCTCTCTCTCTCTTTGCCCCTTGCACCTCCCTAGCAGTTCTCTCACTCTCCTCCTGCCTTAGTTTATTCTTTTGCTCTCTTTAGATTAAAAACAAAACAACAAAACAAGAAACAGACAAACAAATCTCTAAATTTATCGAGTTTAACGCTTATCCCAAAATAAGATCAGATCATTGGTCACTGGGATATAATGAGCATTTTTCTTCGACAATTGTAGTAGATATCGTTATAGAATCTAAGTTGTTTAATCACGTGTCTTCCCAGAATTCTCAGCTTTTGACCTGTCCTGTGATGTTAAATCGTCTTGTTAACCTACTTTTTGCTTGTTGTCAGCAGAACTGTGTAAATTAACCTTCTGTTAATGTAAATTAAGATTTTTTTCACATGTGACATAGATGATTTAGTATATAAAGCTTTAACTGAAAACTTTGTACCAAATTATAAGGAATATAATAATATTTTTATGCTGTCTTTCTTCTCTCCGTATTTAAATCTCCAGAATCTATTGGTAAGTGCTTAGTTCTGAAGCGCACTTCACCCCCACTAATTTCCATATTCAGAATATTATGATTATGATTATGATAATTATTATATGATTAGTATTATTATTCTTAAAATGCATGGCATGCATTTTACTAACAGTCAGTGTAGTCACCAGACTCCTATAGTGGCGCACACGCACACCTCCACAGAAATGTTGTCTTATCAGTCATAGCAACACCTAAAAAAAACCAGTACACATGTATCACATAGATCTAGCACAGTAAATGCCATAATCCAGCCTAAACTACAGTGTTTGTTTTGAGATAGACTTCAGTATATCCTCTTTTTATATATATATAGATCTATATATATATATATATATTTAAATAGAATTTTCAATTTTCTCCTAAAATATGTCATAAGTACAGTTTTGTAAAGTTTCCTTTAAGTATTTGAGGCATATTTGATACATTTCTAACCCTATATAACCAAACGTCTAAGAACTCAGATGCTACTCTGAGAATGGCAGTGTAGCCAATTATAGCCTTTTTGCCCTTTGTGGTACAATGCAACTTGCTTTTATAACCTGATAATACTATCTAATATATTCCTGTTTTAACAGTATAGTAATTCAAGTTTCTCTTAAGACCTTATTTAATTCTGTAAATCTAATTTGATTCTTCTTCCAAAGCCCTAGCCTCCTTCTTCTCGTACTAATGCTTCTTCTTTCTAATCTTATTTGCATTCATATTATCCACCCAGGTGGTACACCAATAAGAGGTAAGAGTGCTGAACTAACGTTCACAGAATGATCTTACTCATTCTTTCTGTCCTTTCATCCCTCTCATCTTTGTCCTGTTTTTGGTTTTGTTTTGTTTTGTTTTCCATAAGGAGAAAATAAAACAAAATAAAAACCATGGAAATGTCCATCATCTGATTTTCTTTTTCCTTTGTCCTGTTTGGTTATGATCAGTGACTCTCATATTGTGACCTTTCTTTCTTCTCATTACCTTTTCCTTTCCCCTTTTCATTTGTTCATTAAAAAAAAAAAAAAAAAAAAAAAAAAAAAATTGTGATATGCTTCAAAGAAAGCATATCCAGATCTCCTGGCCATAGCCCAGTCACAGCGTACCATTTGTCCCTCTTTTTTCTTTTTCTTCTTCTTCTTCTCCTTTTTCTTCTTCTTCTTTTTCTTCTTTTTTCTTTTTCTTCTTTTTTTTTTCTTCTTTTTTTTTCCTTCCTCTTATTTTTTTGTCCAACTGGAGCAAAAAAAGATCATTTTTTTTCTTCCTTAGCTGTTCTTTTCCTGGACCAAAGCCAAGATGGTCTGGAGAACAGTAGCAGACATGCAGAAGACAACATGGACTATCTTCTTTTTGTCTTATCTTTCACAAAAGGTTTTTGGTTTTGTTCTTCTTCAATTCTTTTTTTTTCCTTAACTTCATAAAATTGAAAATTGTGTATCCCCCCCAAAAGAATTACAGAATTTTTTTTCCCTTTATTGTGGTTTTGCCTTTTTTTTTTTTTTTTTTTTTTTAGTTTTCTTTTTTTGGAATTCTCTCACCTCTGGATTTTTGGATCTTCTAATGTACAGGCTTTGGAAATGAAAGGTTACTGACTCATTATTCTTGGTGGTATGTGGTATTGTTGGTTTTTGATTCTCTAGCAAAACTGTTTACTCCTTTTGTAATTCTTATTTTGTATTTTTCTTGGGTTTTGTGACACCACACTGCTAATCCCACTTGTGGATTTTGATGGGTGTCTCAGGAGGGGCCTTCTATGGTCCTCAGCAGTGGTTGGTTGGTTCTTCCTTGTTGGCGTAGACCATGCTTTTGAAACTTTTTTGTCTTCTAATTCAACTGCTCTTTGTTTTTCAGCAAACGTACTTTAAGATTGTAAGTTGCGGAAAACGGTCTTTCTTTTCTTATCAATCTGCATGTCTTAAAGGAGTTTTATTTCTTTAAAATAATATTTTGATAATTGTAAATGACTAATACAATTTCTTTTTTTTCACTTCAAGCAGCCTTTTTGTTCTTGCTGCGCATTTTTGGCTTTCTTCAGCAGAAGATTTCTTGAAGTCTGTCCTGCTTTTTTACGAGTACCACCTTTTGTGCTACTTTTGTTACTAGATTGAAACAATTAAATAAAAAATAAAAAATTATAATGACCCAAGTACTTAATCTCTATTGTTTTATTAAAAGCCATTCTTCCTTGAAGCAGTCTCACCCATCTTCATTTAATGGTTTAGGAAGTAGTATTGTTTAGACAGGGTTTTGTTGTGGTTTTTTTTGCCAAATGCTAATTGTTTTTCTGTGCTAGCACTGATGATGTGAAAAAAATAATCTCTGTTTTTTTCATTGCATCATTTTCTGTCTGTGCACCTTAGCAAGAAAATGAATCGACGTTGAGTGGACCTTCGCATACAAGCTTTTCATATTGTTGAGAGGTGTATTATTATGGATGTAAAAAGCCTTCTCTGACCCTCTCTTTGGCAATGTATTTTATATTCATACAGGTGCCCTCCAAATTGAACTGAGTGAAGAATCTGACCAAGGCAAATATGAGTGTGTTGCAACCAACAGTGCGGGTACACGCTATTCTGCCCCTGCCAATCTATATGTCAGAGGTAGGAATGACATAACCCTGGCATCCACTGTTCGTGCAGGTTCAGGGCTAAGATACTCTCAGGATCTATACAGTTACCACTGTAATGATCAAAATGCCATGGTAAATGTGTCAATTGTAAAGCTAATTTTAAACTTTAGAGGAAAGGCTTGGGGTTTTTTTTGTTCTTTTAAAGCACTCTTGAGTCCAGTCTATCCTGTGGGTTAAGGTTTGTAAGTATATGTATATTTTTTGCATTTTAACTTCTGGGTTTTTTTCCTGCATTAAGTTAAATTGTGCTTTGCATTTATTTTCTTGCATTTGTTTTGTTTTATTTTGCTTTTCTTTTCAAACTCCTGAAGTGACTGCTCTGTGTGCCACTAATCAGCTGAGTGTAACCCCGAGGCATTGAGATGTATGCCTACCTGACCTCTGCTGTCTAACTGGAAAGGAAAAGCTTCTAACATTATAACTTTATGTATGCAGAGCACAACTGTATTTTCTTCTTTTCTCTTTCTTCTTAATATATATGTATGTGTATATAAATATATATATATTTATTTTTTTTAGTGTAGACTTGTAAGTGAAGTGTAGTCCTTTAGAATGATAGGAGTCAATTGGCTATGTTATTTTAAGAAATTGCCTTACTGTGTGACAGGTATGACTAATAATAAAACCATTATATTTTTCTGTATGGTGGTAAAACTGGTTATTAACATATTGAAATTTTTTATTTTGTTCAACTGGAAAGAAGGGCTTTGTTTCAGGCAGTATTTCCTACGTCTGATTGATGTAGATTTCTGTAAAACAAAGCCTATTACATACATACATACATATGTGTGTATATATATATGTGTGTGTGTGTGTGTGTGTGTGTGTGTGTCTATAATATAAGGGGATGGGTGGGGGGAATAGGACTGAAAACATAAAAAGCTGTAAACCTTACTGTAGGATGGATGACCTTACAGAAAATGCCTAGCCTGATTTTGAAATTTTTTTTAGAGCTGATTTTTTATCAACCTGATGCGTTTTCATATGGTGTTACTCTTTTGGCTAATTAAAAAAGAAAAAGAAAGGAAAACCTTTCATAGTTATGACATCCGTAGAAATTTATTTGATCTTTTATTTTCTTTCTCTTCTCCTCCAACATACTGACTTTCCTGTACTGCATGAGGCATGTATACCTTTATATCCAAAGGAAAATTTCAAAATTATGCTAGCTATTGTTTCCATTGTAGCTGTGGAAAATGCTAACTTTTCAAGATGAGGTAGGAAGGTTTAATTAGAGCAAGTAGAGATGTTCAAGTAGCAGTTGAAAGCCTTGATATGGCCTTTTTACTCTCTCTGTGTTTCCCTTGTTTTTCTCCTTTCCTCATTTCATTGTGTTCTGCATCAAACCCCCTACATCCCTCAGAGCTGCGAGAAGGTTGGTGTGTTTTTTACTTTTTACCCACCCTACAAAACTATTAATTAAACCAATAACAAAGAATACAAATGAAATGAATGTAGCTGCATTGTGGCATTTTTTCAGTTAATGTTATGTTTAAGCAGAGAATGCTCTGGTCATGGCTTTTGATGAGTGCTGGTATCTAACTGTTGTGCATGACAAGAGAGAATGAACCTGGATGCATGGCAATCTCTTTCGCTTTTAATACTAACGTCTACTAAACTTGGTCAGTGTTCCTGCTTTTCTTCCCTTTTGATTTCTTGTTCATACTGATGCCTGCTTTTGAAGGAATGGTTTCAGTAGTTGCTTTTCCAAATAGCCCATGCATGAAGACTAAACTTCCTTTGTCTATAAGGATTTTGTTCAATACAAGAAGTTGCTCATTGCTTGCTTACTGTTTGCTTTGTGTGGCCTCTGTGAACTGGCCGTTTACAGATGTTTTGCTCTCTGCTTGTTCCCCTTCTGCCTGTCATTCACTCATGAGGCCATTGCAGTAAGCCCCTTCTGAATCCATAGAGGATCATGGAAATTTAACCGAGCCCAGAGGAAAGGTTTCAGATTAATATAGTTTTCCTGTTGCTTTTTTGGTTTTTTGGGGTTTTTTTTGGTTTTTTTGGGTTTTTTTTTTTGTTTTGTTTTGTTTTCAAACTCACTCATAGTCTTATCTTACTTCTAATTTTTTTGCTGAATTAAAACTGTGTTTAATGATTAGCCTCTATTAAGGCCAAATAAATACAGTTTTGAGTACACCATCCAATGAAAGGCCTAAATACAAGCCTACCTCTCTCAGCTACCTCTGTCACTTCCACCTCCTACACGCACACATGTGCACACCACTGAGAATATTTGAAGCAGGAACACTGATCTGTTATTGCCTGGTAATTTTCTCGGTGTTGTGTTTGTTTAAATATTAACTACTCTGTTAGTGAAATGTCCTGCTATGTGTTTAAGGTTGCCACCCCTTGCTATCAATACAGAAATGTCTAATATTATTAATCCTTATTATGCTTTCCCTAAACTGTGAGCATAGTGAAATCCTGAATGTTAAATATTCTGCTATTTCCCCAGTTGCTCTTCCTAGCAGTTGCTTTTTAACCACGTAAATTTAATCTTAAGTTCCTTCCTCAAACGCTGTGCTCCTCTTAAACTCCTGTATCTGTCAGCCTATTCTATTCCCATCACTTTCAAGTTTCCTTTCCTCACCCAATGTTTTTTTTTTTTTTTGTGTTGTTTTCTCTCTGCAGTTTTTACTCAGACATTTTCCTAAGCATGATTTTCTACTGTTTCGGTCATTTGCTTGCCTGCATGACCAAATCCAGTACTTTGTACTGGCTTTGCCTAGTTTCCTTCTGTGACTCTGTCTCTTTTTCTCTCAGTCTCTCTCTCTCTATTTATATATATGTATATGTATATTTATATATATTTGTATATATGTATACATATGTGTATATATATATATTTGAATCTGTGTGCAATTCTATATTTTTTCCATGTTTGTTTCAGTGTTAGTGTGAGGTCTTGAGGCTGCATCTACTTTGAGTCTGAAAGCAAATGAAATTGCACTTTCAATTTATTCTAGGCAGTGTGTTCCAGGACTGTGATGTGACGATGTGGCCTAGCACATTTATTCACATCAACTGGAAGCATGCAGCATTGAAGTTGGTGATCAACTCAAGCATGCTGTTGACCTTCCAGTTTTCTTCTGTGCATATATATATGAATCAGCATAAAAAATGCATATATATATGTGCGCCTTTGTGTGTGTGTGCACGTGTGCGTGTATATCTTTTGCATGGTATTTGTGTATTGTTAGTATGTAGTTAGTTACATGTGGGGCCCTTGTAGGTCTGAATCAACCTTTGTATGAATGTGCCTAACAATATCCTCAAATAAATAAAGAATAAGTCATATTGTGTGCAGACAAAATTCTTGTTTAGTCTCTTATTTCTCTTATATATATTGTCTGGCAGACCGGAATAAACACTAAAATAATAAATTGTGTCTGTACACTGCATGCTGTCCTTATATGAGACTCAGTTTCCTTTTTTGTATATGTTATTACCTTTTTTCTGTGTTTTGTTCCAGTTCGACGGGTCCCACCAAGGTTCTCTATACCCCCAACAAATCATGAGATCATGCCTGGCGGGAGTGTAAATATCACCTGTGTTGCGGTGGGATCACCAATGCCATATGTGAAATGGATGCTAGGAGCAGAAGATTTGACACCTGAGGATGATATGCCAATAGGGAGAAACGTCCTTGAGCTTAATGATGTCAGACAGTCTGCAAACTATACTTGCGTTGCTATGTCTACCCTTGGTGTTATAGAAGCAATAGCACAGATAACTGTCAAAGGTATATCTCAAGCACATTTATTTGGACACAGTTCTGTCTTTTATTTCATTCATTCTGAGCAAACATACTACACTGAAAGGTCTAAATGCCATTTGCCCTCTTAAATCAAGAGGGTAAATATTCTAACCACTCACTAGCATAAGACAAAATACAGGTTCAGACAGCCGTAATAATCACTAATTGAATAATTAATATTTATTAAAATAAGTTAGTCATAATTTTTCGTTATTCTTCTATGTCTAGTTCCCAGCCTTCACTTCAGTTAAAGAAATTATCTTGAAATGTTTTGTTTATTTATCAACAGCAGGAACCTTTAAGAACCAGTCATTTCATTTTTGGAATTGCTGGGTGTCCAAGTATCATATTCACTAAGTAATTGGAAACGAGAGGTTCAAAAAATATCAGAAAATTCAGTTGTAATTGTGAATGGTCTTTCTATAAGATTCCTCTTCTGCATATGGTTACAGATTTATTACAGAAGTCACTATCATTAATTCATGACAAATGAACTGCATTGGACAGAACTTGAAGATTTTCCAGTAGGTTTTGGGGGAAATCGTAATTGACAAAAGCTTGCTCTGAACAGATTACTCTTTGTTTCCATTTCGTTTTCCTGTTTATTTTTGTTTAGTTCTTAGTTATTGTTTGTAAGACTTTTATTCTTATAATGAATGTCTACTGTTACATAGTGCTAACTGTATTTTTTGTTATGTGTATTTAGCCTTACCCAAACCTCCTGGAACACCTGTGGTGACAGAAAGCACAGCAACTAGCATAACATTGACTTGGGATTCTGGAAACCCTGAGCCAGTTTCGTACTACATAATCCAACACAAACCCAAAAACTCAGAGGAGCCATATAAAGAAATTGATGGGGTGGCCACAACACGTTACAGCGTGGCTGGCCTGAGCCCATATTCAGAGTATGAATTTCGGGTAGTTGCTGTAAATAACATTGGGCGAGGGCCACCCAGCGAGCCTGTGTCAACGAGGACTTCAGAACAAGCACCTTCAAGTGCACCACGCAATGTACAGGCCCGTATGCTGAGCTCCACCACCATTCTGGTACAGTGGGAAGAACCCGAGGAACCCAATGGGCAAATACAAGGTTACAGAGTTTATTACACCATGGACCCCACTCAACATGTCAACAGTTGGATGAAGCACAACGTGGCTGACAGCCATATTACCACTATTGGGAATCTTGTGCCCCAGAAAACATACTCTGTGAAGGTTCTTGCTTTTACTTCTGTTGGGGATGGACCACTTTCTAGTGACATTCAAGTCATCACTCAAACAGGAGGTAAGCAAGCAATGAGCAAAATTTGTGAGAGGCTTTCAGTTTAAAATGTTGCAAAAAAACTGCCCCTCAAGTATAGCCAGTTTATTCAGGCAGTTTTTGCAGATAACCTTTCCCAGTTCCGCAGTGCAGGTTATCTTTGCAGAGTGGAAATTACCCCATCATGCTTTCTTTTTTCATCAGTGTCAAGAACTGATCTGCAGTGCAGTTGAAATCTCAGAGAGCCCTTCATCCTGGAGGTGGCCAAATCTCATGGCTTTTGTTTGGCAGTGCTCTGTGCACTAAACCTCCTTGTCAGTAATTCTTCATAGCTTTTTTTGAGGTGTAACTTGTGGGTTTTGGTGGGTTTTCTTTAGGTGACATGCAGTTCTCCTATGCCATATCACTCTAGAGAATATTGCTTTTGGAAATTTAAAATGTATGTGTACTGCATATGTATTCACATAGCTGGTAAGATTCTGAGAACACAGAAAACAAGAGAGCATTAAGTACAACAAACCTTTGTGTACATTCAAACAAGCAGGTTTGTACACTTTGGATTTATAAGTCAAATCAAAGCTGCCCCAACAAAATGCTTACCACAGTGTCACTATTTTCTTGGTTTATGTTTGCAGTTAGGTTGTTTTGTTTTGTTTCTGTCCAAGAACTTTTAGGTCCATCAGTTAGTTTTATTAGTAAAGGACAAGCAAGCACAGTGAAAAACATGGCAGAAAAGTTTTTATGAAATCTAAAGTGAGAAGCTCTGGTAGTGTTACACTGCACAGTGTTTTATTGTAGCAATAAGAAATAAAAGGTCCTTTTGTCTAGCAGTTTAGAGAAAGCTGTATGAAGTATTACTGTAGGCCAGTGATTTCCTAGAAATATATAATAGTGCTAGAATTTTTTAGCACAGGAAAGCTTCCTGTTGCAGAATTTAGCATCCCTCAAATACTTAAAAACAGATCTCTAAAGTATAACTGTACACAGTTGTGTTTCGTCTAGTTTTAACTTCTGCATTTTAGCAACATGCATTTAATAAAGACAGAAATTGATGTATTGTCCTGGAATCATTCTAGGTGTTGTGTTGCACAAAGATCTAGATGTTACCTTTTTCAGTATCTCAGCTAAGTTATGAAATTTTCACTTGCAAATGTCAATATATACATCATAGTTTAATTTTGGCCTTTGCAACCTTTTTCAGAGAACTAGTTTTTATATTGACATCTGACTTCTGATTGAATCCACATGCAAAAGGCTTTGCCAGAAGAAGGTTTAGTGAGCTCCTTATCTGTGTTTTCACTCACAACTGTAAACCTCTTAGATTAGCAAGTGTCTGGCAGTGGCTTCCCCAGTGAAGGATGAAGGAATCAAAATAATGAGCACTGAGGCTCAGCTGGACTGGCTCAAGTTACATTACTTTCTGAGGTCACTTCAGAGAAGTAAGCATGTCCATCTGTTTCTGATTACTGTTGCAATCTGAAGAAATTACAACAACATTTACAGTGCTGGAGGGTTTCTCAATACATTATTTCAATGTTTAATTGTGACTATGTTAAAAAAATAGAAATATTTGAAAAGAAATAATGGGGCATACAGGAAGCATATTTAAGCACTGATACTTTTGCTTGAAATACAAATGTTTTAAGTCTTAAAAGAGCTAGAAACTACAAAAGTCTAATGAAGTTGTCCAGTTCAGGGTATGGTTAAAAACTAAGATTTGCCCATCTCTCTATCCAGAAGTTTCTCTTCAATGAACATCATAAAAAAATGCCCTCCTTGCCCTTTTCTTCCCAATTTGCTTTAATGTACATCTGAATATCATTGTTTTAGTTAAAATCTCTCAAGATTAAACACATTCCAAATATTAAAGTGAATATAAAGTGCCATTTAAGGACCGGGGAAATGGATTTATATGGAAACATTTTAAAAGAGTTAAAGTAGGAATGGGATGCTGATTACATTTGGTTGATTTTATTTTAAACAAATAAGCCTGCCATTATATATACATATTTAGCTTAATCCTCACTTTGGGGACATTAGAGCATATATAAAAGAAAATCTTGCTGACGTGTAACTTACAGGCTCTGTTAGGTGGTTCAGAGTTTTCCTGCCTTAAGTGTACTGTGATCTTTGGAGAGAGATTAAAAAAAAAGAATAATTTCTTATTAAAAATACTGTTCAGAGGCATTTTTGTTTTCTTAGTATAGCAGAATAATTCTTATCAAATGGGTGTATGAATGGCTTCTTTCTTTGCAGATCAGCCGAAACTCTGCTGGTAGTGAAATTTAGATTTCTAATTAAAATATTGACTGGGACCATGTAGTTTGAGGGAAAGAGAAGGATATATTTTTCAGACAAGACACTGAAAAAAAAACCCCAAAAAATTATAGTTTCAGTGTTCAGTATTTTTCTTAAGCATTTGAAGGCAAAGCCATGTCATATTGCCCAGTTGTTTTCAGCAGTGTTTTCTTTAAAAAGACCCAATTTTAACCGATTCTGCAATCAGAAACTAGCTGTGCAGGGGAGCTTTTTGAGTAAAAGGAAACCAATTCCAAAAGTTAAGAAAGTCTGTATTCTGCATTTTGGGCTGGAGGATTAGATTCTGTTGAGGATGGAGTCAGGACTGGGCTATTATGTAGGTTAATTGACTTACCAAATTTTAGAATAAAGAAGGATTAATATACGTTTTCTTGTGATACTTGTTTTGTTTTGTTTTGTTTTGTTCTTTTTCTTGTTTGTTTGTTTTTTACGTTGTTAGAAAACAAAATTTGTTTGTGTGCATTTTAGCTGCTCAGGATGCACTTTTCATAACTCCTTTCTGGGCTTAAACGGGTTGTAAGAGTGTGTACTCTAAGCAACATATTTTAATCTGTGTGTACCAAGAAAATACAGAGTTTTGAACTATCTCACTTTGCGTTTTCATTTAATTTTTAACCTGTAAAGAGAGGATAGCTACTAAAGGAATTAAGTGAATCTTGTTTTTCTTCGGAGTTTAGATAGAAAGACAGGAGAGAGAACACAAGGTCTGTTGGATAGTGGATTACTGGAAAAAGAGAGAGAGGAAAAAATTAGTAAATATTCAGGGAAATGAATGTGTACCTGTTAGCATATGTTTCTGTGGAAAAAATAACCCTAAAACACAAAACATTGGTTTTAAATGTTGGATCTCCATTATTTGAAGACTTAGTTTTATTACAATTTTTAAAGGGTATTTGAAAATAGGAAAAAGGACAGTAATGAGAAGGTCCAGTATCTGACTTGCAGGGCACATAAGTGGAGCCTTAGATTCAACAAAATTAATGTTTCTGGAGTTCATGTGTAAAAGATGATTAGAAATTCAGAGAAAGAGTTGGTAGCAACAAAGTACTGTTCTGTGTTGTAGCAAGCTAGCTACTTTACCAGACATTTAAATTTTTTTCGTGAACACATGAACAAGGAGACCTGATGTCTCTGAAACTCCACAGTCCTAGCCTAGTGTGTTTTGCAGCATTTCATGAAATGGACTTCCACATTAAAAGAGTTGAGAGCATGTACCTAGAAACTCAAAAAGCAAGAAATCAGGTGGGAGGAATCTAGAGTTGAAAGGGACCTCTGGAGATCATCCAGTCCAACTTCTCTTCCAAGGCAGGTTCACCTGGAGCAGGTGACAAAGGAACATGTCCAGGTGGGTTTTGAATGTCTCCAGAGAGGGAAACACCACAACCTCCCTGGGCAGCCTGTTCCAGTGTTCTGCCACCCTCAATATGAAGAAGCTCTTCCTCAGGTTGAGGAGAAATTTCTTTTGGTTTAGAATATGGCCACTTCATCATCCTCTCTCTGGGCACCACTGGAAAGAGTCTGCCACAGTCCTTGTGGCGTGCCCCTTTGAGATACCTACATGTATTGATGCTGAGGTGGGGTATAGGATAGCTTTTTAACTGACTTAAATTTTAAAACTTCCCTCAAGGGACATTTCTGGTCAGGTAGGAAAAACTATTTTAGTTTTTTAATAACTCCCCTACTATCAATGCACAGCTAACTTTTTTTAAGTGTTGTAGTCTCTATTTTACTTAATTTAAATGCTACTGAGATGAGTCCAGCATTGAGGATCTTAGCTTCACACACTGATAATTTATCTCATTACTGTGTTCTTTAGTCATTTAGACAGGACCAGGTAGACTCTTGTCTTTAAGACTGACTGACATGTTTATTTTATTCTCTGGACTCCCACTATGTCAGAGATAATATTTGAAGAAAGTGATTTATGGATTTCTGACTAATTTTCACATAATATAGTATGCTTTTTTAAAAATCTGAAATGTATAGTAATTATTTTGAGTACTGTGGTTCTTTGTTTGATACTGCAAACCTCAGGTATGTTCAGACTCATTCAAAGAGATTATTTCAGTTGTAGCAGAGACGGGGTTAACAGTGCACATATTATTTTATGTTACACAGTGCACATTTTATTTTGTATGTTACCCATTTTATTTTTTAATTATATTCTATTAGGACTGGTTATTTTAAAAAATACATATATGTTGTTTACAAAGCAAAAACTGGAGCACAGTAGCTCTTCAATTGTAGAAGTTCCTCTGTAGAGTTTCATACTTCTTTCAGAGAAATCAGAAGCATAAACTCTTGGTCCCTTTTGGTTCCCTACTGATTGTAAATTCTCTTGGTCAATCTGTTGTCCTTTGCAAACTGGTTTCTTACTGAACTAATTGAGTTTTACTTTGGTATGGGTTCCATACCAGAGTTTATTGGCAATAAATTGTGTTTAATTTCCGTTATTTTGGGTTTCTTTTCTTTTTTCGTCATCTTCTCTTATCTGTTTGGAGCAATGCAGACTTCCCTGTTACCTTTTGCTTCTGTCAGTGTTAACAGCATCAGAGTTGTCTGACTGTGGTTAAAAAATCCAAGGGGAGATTAAATTTTAAAGCAAGATACTATTTTGACAAACAGCTATTGGAAAAGTCCAATTAGCCATCAGCTTGTATTATAAGAAGATTGAGAATTGCAGACCTAGATGACAAAGGGTTTGGGTTTTTCTAAAAGGAATACTTGGAGAATGAGGGTCTTAAAACACGTTGAGAGTCAGGAAATACCCTCAGTTCTCCATCTGCTGCCATATTTATCATAACAGATGGTACCAGACTTCATATGAGTCACTTGACTGATCATTTGCTATGACTGCCTGGCTGTGTTCTACAATTCATGTATCCATACATTAAGTACAGATCATAGCATTACGGGACAAATCAGGCTGGCAGGATGATTATCTGCAGAGGTGTCCAGCCACAGCCACTGCCCAGAGCAGGCTCAGCTCTGGGGTCAGACTGAGTTTCTTAGGGCTTCACCCACTTGATGTGTAAAACACCCCATGGTCCAACCTCCGTGGGCCCTGGCTGCATTTCTGCACTGTCCTGAGCCTCGCATGTTTTCAACTTGTGCCACGGCATCTCACCTGCCGCACTCTGTGAAGAGCCTGGCTATATCTCTTCCATTCCTTCTGTCACTGCTGGGAGTGCTGTTGAGAGCCATCCATTCTCCCAGCTGGACCACTGCCAGCACTGCAGCCACTCCTTGCAAAATTAGAATCTGTCACAAATACTTAGTTGGTGTTTCCTCTAATGGCTCTGCTTTGCGATCATTTCCTCTTTGCACTTTGCAGGACCCAGGCAGTAGTCTCTTTTTAGACTAGACACCTTTTAAAAGAACATGTAATTAGTCCTGTCCCTTTTTATTCCTGTAAAAGAGTTGGTCTCCTTTTACTCTCACTCACTCATTAAAAAAATAAAGTCCACCCAGGAGCTGGAAGAATATACAGCTCAGATATAAAGGTTCTGTTTGTTGGAAGTTAGATATGAAATATCTAATATGCACCAGAATACACAAGGGCAGTGTCCTCCTCAAATTGATATTCTGTAGAAGTCTGGGGAAGATAAAAAACAAAATACCAAATTATTTTAACAGTTTACTCTCTGCAGTTTTTAGGTCTTTTACTGTACTAAACTAACATACTTGTAATGCTGTCATAGAATTCTTCTCTGATAATTGTTTGTGAAACCATCATTATTGTCACATCCTACTTCTTACACCTGTTCTCAGTGTATGCTAAGTACATCTTTTTATTTTTCCCCTGAAAAAAATGAGAGCATGTCGCATTTTATTCTTGAACCGCTAAAAATGCTGTGGAAAACTGTTTTATGCCTTATCAATGGCACTATTAACTGGAAGTAATGTTTTAGAACTTCGGTACCAAAGCTATTGTACACAATCTGATGATGTAGTTATCTTTTCCTGTCTTTTCATAGTCAACCTTATCATTTGCTTCACATTTGAAGAAGTAAATTAGATTTACATTTAATGTGGATAATTTCTGTGGCCATCGCATAAGATATAGTAGCAGAGAATGTTATTGTCTAGTGCAGTCAAATGTATATTTTGCATCTTGCAATTAGAAAATGTTGTCACTAGAAATTCAACTATATTCTTAAATATACCACTCATTAAAGGGTGGAAATACTTCACTTAGTGAGAAATTAACTGAATATCTCTTCGCAGGGTTATAACTACTTCAGGTTAAATAAGCTGTGTTTTTTATGTGGGCGTCTTCTTAAGACCAGGATATGTTTACTTTCATTTATGAGCTGAGAAAAAAAGAAAAAATTAATGTCTGGAAATGCATGTAGTACTTTTAACACTTTAATCTAGACTATTTCAGCTGATCATATGTTCTATTCGCTTTTGCTCATGCACACATGAGAAAAACATTCTATGTATAGTTGTATATATTTGCCATTTCACACATAGGTTATTAGGTTGCTGGTATTCATCACCAGGCATCTCTTCAATGGCATTTCAGCTCTGTTTGCTTTATTTACACTGCAAAAGCATTTATTTTAAATCCTTGATAATTTTTAACAGGTGAATTAAATGTATCATTTTACTTTTTCTGTGCTTAGATAATTTTGTTTCATAGTATTGTGAATCAATTTGTTTAAGTTCAGTAAGATAAATGAAAGTAATATTGCATGCCATATTTGGATAACATTTTAAAATACTTTAAAATATTGAAGTATCCAAGTAAATAATTGGCAACACTGCTCAATTTTCCTTAGTGCCTGGTCAACCATTGAACTTCAAAGCAGAACCTGAGTCTGAAACAAGCATACTGCTTTCCTGGACACCTCCACGGTCTGATACCATTTCCAGCTATGAACTGGTTTACAAAGATGGGGAGCATGGGGAGGAAGTAAGTGGCAAGATTGTACCTCTTCTAAGTCATCTTTAAAAAGTTGGGCATAAAATGCGGCAATGGTTTAAGTTTCATATTTTAGTAACTTATTTTAGTAGAAATGCCTTGATATTAAGGTTTGTTAAGCTCAGCAGTTAGCCTAGTTTCAGACTGAAAGTGTGTAAACAGCAGAAAATGTTGTCAGTGGTTACCAGCCAGTAGAATTTTGCTGTAGAAAGTAATGAATCCTCCACAGAAATTCCGTCCAGTTTCAGACATTGATTATGTCCCTCTGAGCCTGTTAGTCTATAAAGGCTTGGGGAAAAATATTAGGGACATTTCATGGACCCATTAAGCCTTTTTTGAACTTACACCCGAACTTTGAAATCTATTCACAGCCTTAGATAATTTTTGTTTCTCTTTGCCATTGTGTAAGAGAATTCCTGAGATTTTCTAATCTTTCAGTAGTAATTGAGAAGACAGCAGGAGGTTCTTCCTAAAGATTAAGACCTGCAATAGACTTTTTCTGTACCATTACTTCATAAAGAATTTTCAGTTTGTGGGCGTCTGTTGTTTTTGTTCCATAAACTTTAGAATAAACTGTTCTTCTGGTAGGGAAAATGCCATATTAACAGGTGTCACAGAGGGAAAAAAAGAAGCCAGGATTCTCAGAAGGGCACAGGAGATTTTCATCCTCATTGATTTCTCCTGCATCTTCAAGTCCTTGCTGATGTTTCAACTGAGTTTGTGTTTATGGCAGCTTCACACATACACTGTGAATTCATATGCTTATTTTGTCTAAGGGGGCCAGGTCTCTATTTCACTTCCAAATAGAATGCAGGCTGCTGCTTAGTAAGTTATCCTGTGGAAGAATTTGCTTTTAATAATTTAAATACAAATTTAACTACAAGGTTAAACCCAAGGGTAACTTACACTATAAAATCACTGACATAGAAGACAGTTATAGGTAAGGCTTCATTCATGTGGTATTGTCTGAAAAGCCTTTCATACTTTGTATGTAGCTATTTGTTCCTCAAACAGTCAAGCTTTGTTTGTGGCTCTGAGTTTCATCTGTTAAACTGTTGACTTTAAAAAAATAGTTTATTATTGTGTGAAAAGAAATGTATTTGGTTTTGGATTTGTTTAGTTTGGCTTTGTTCTGCTTTACTTTTTTTCAATTTAATTTTTTCTCGGTGGTTTTATCCCAGTACAAAAGCATACAGGCAATATAGGGAATTTATAGTCTCTGAATACTAACCAAGACATTTTCTTACTATCTACATTTAGCAACGGGTTTCCACTGAGCCTACTACATCCTATCGTCTGCAAGGCTTAAGGCCAAACAGCCTGTACTTGTTCCGCCTAGCTGCACGCTCTCCTCAAGGTCTGGGTGCCTCAACAGCAGAAATCTCAGCCAGAACCATGCAGTCAAGTAGGTGTCTTTCCTTTGAATAATTTTTCTCTTTCTCTTTATTAATCTCAGTAACCCAGGTAGGCAGAAACAGAGAAAAAAGCAAAATACAGTACTCATGTTGGTTGACACAGCAAAAGAGTGCTTAAAATATGAAGTTTTGAGGTGTATTGTTATCAGCTTAATATATGAGTGGCTTTTACATAGTTTCAAAAAACAACTGAAATAAACTAGTGTCTAAGGAGGCAATATAAAGTTGGCATAATGAAATTTTATTTTATAATAAGGTGAAATGTTGTACCATGCAATAGGTGTACATTAATGAAAGTCCTCAATCAATAAAATTCCACCTCCCTACTCTGCATGCTTCCTAGGTCATTTCTGCAGCATCCCTCTGCAGTGCAAAAATTTGTCTCAAAAAAGTGCAAAAAAGTGGATCAGGTTGAATATTTCAGACTGTACCAGACATTTCATAAGAACTCTTCTGTAGTATCTTATTCTGATTTTGTTAAATTTTCTTAATCTGGGCTTTTTATGATGTTCAGTCATTTCCACCTCGAGAAAAACCAGTTTGAGATGTAAAAATTTGTCAGGGACTTGTATATGCACCTTAAAACATTTAAATTAAGACTTAACTAAAACAATCAGCTATTCAGCAATGATGTCCAGGAGGATTATTCTTGCCTGATAAGTTATGTCTTCCTGAGAGTTTGCATTACAATGTGTCATTTAAAAACTTAGTACAATTCTATTTGTATTTGTTTTAAATTAAATTGCCTACTCTTAAAGTAAGATAATTCAAAACAGAAAATTCAGTTTCTCTGTTGACATTAGTTTTTTTAATTTGCAGTCATGACATGTGATTACGCTACCATTTCTTGTTAGTGTTATATATTAATATCAATTAGTGTGACTGGAAACACAGTGCAGCTCACCTTTAAGCAAAGCTAAATGAGTTTCTGAAGCATTTCTAATGCGCTTGGAATAAGCACAAAAAACCACATGTAACACAAGGTTAGTTTTAGATATAGTGTCAAGGCAATTTTTCAGTTTAGTAATTCAGAATGAATAATTTGATTAAGAAATAGGTATTTATTTATTCTGGGAGCCATTTCAACTATTTGGAATGCTCATTATCTTATATTGGGTGAAGATTGCTTAGATTGCATACAAAACAAACATCTAGGAGCCAAGGCTGCGTGTTCCTTGTATAAGGACATTGCCATTTTCTCTCCTTGCATATAAGAATGTGTTATGTTTATCTCCACCTTGTGTCTTCAGATAGTAGCGAAATCCAGTTGATTTCAGTGGTCAGATCCAAGGTATTTGCTGCAAAAAGTCCTTTTTTTTTTTTTTAATGTGCAATTAAGAAAAAAATATATACACATTAATAAAACTGGTTAAAGTAGCCTTCAAGTTAGCCTCAGTTACATAAGTGCAATATTTTGCATTTTGAGAGTATAATGGATTAAAAATTAATAAACTTCTGTGATTTTTTTAGCAATATTCACCAGAATGTGCTACTGCCTTTCATCTTTGTATCAGAGGAAGATGCTGCAGTGATTTATTTCTTTTTTGTAAGATCCTTAAGGGACATTTTACACGTGTTTCACTTTCTGCACAAGTTAATGGTAGAAGGGGATCCATTTCTTTTGAGTAGTTGATTACTGAATTAGTCTATAAAAATAACTCAAAATGTGTTAATTCTCATCTGCTCTTCCCTCCACCTCCTCTGCTTAATTGAAATTCTAGTAAATTCTCTCCTGTCTTCCCTTTGGAGGAGCAGTGTACCATACTGAGTAAAAAGCCATTGATCCCTGTAGAAAGAACTGTAGGGAACCGAAGGATACATGTGTAAATGCAGTAGGTCACAGCAGGGTCCTAGGCCTTATCTGTTGTTTTAATTTTGTTTGATGTGATAAGTACATATAAGTATCCATTTGTTTCTTTTTTCCCTTAAGAAATGGAAAGAAAAGGTGGAGAGGGGGATGTAAAGGGGGAAAAAAGATCTTGCGCACAAAGACTTTTTTCTTACAAGACAGGAGGCAGAAATAGGAAAGGAGTTCATATCCCCTCCTTCTGCTAGTGAGTTTGAATTATGGCTCCTTTTTCTGGTGCTCTGAATGATCTGTTAGTAAGCATAGATTTTGGTAAGTCAAAGTGCATTTAAGCACATAAATGCATACCTAACTTTCAGTACTTGATTTGCCTCACTGAAAGCAGTGGAATGACATGCATGCTTAGATGCTCTGAAGCTTGGAAAAGGTAAATATGCTAACATACTCCTTTGGGAACAAATAAGTAAAGGTGAGCATTTCTGCTCTGGAAGACTGGTGATGCTGACAGGAGATGAAACAAAGTCAGAAACTCACATTCTGAGGTGTTGGGCTTGTAAACTCACTTTGTAAAATGAATACCTGCTTTCTTTACATGCTGTTTGGGGTAGTTGTTTTTTTGGTTTTGTTTTTCTTCTGTAGAAATAATATATACTACTGGTAGAATTAATTCTTTGCTAGCAAAGGTGTCTCCAAGAGGAGTTAAAAAAATAAAACTGACAGCTGATCTAGGGTAAGTACAAGTACAAGTTACAGTCAGAATCAACAAGCCTGTCACTTTTTCCTGGTAGGTAAATATTTGGCTAAGACTTTCATCATCTTCTGTGAACTGCATGCTCATAGTATGTTAGCTACAATAAATGCCTAGGTAAATGCTTTCAATTTAAATGTAATTAATGGTTGACTTGTGTCAGGCAGACTCATTAAAAAAAAAAAAACAAAACAGTAATTTGTTTATGAGAATGGAAAGGCTGCAAAAATGGCAACCTATGGAGCAATTTCTAGCAATTGTTGCAAGTTTTTAGACGTTCTGTAAAAGAAGATTTTCTGTCTTAAGGAAAGTAAAACCACTTGAAGGGGATGTCAAAATTTGTAAGCAAATACATGTAATGTAATATGTTATACAGTTAAAGTGTTATAGCTTGCACTAATTGCCAGGATTGTAAAGATAGATCAGTAGTCATAGAGGTATCACATTTTTGTTTTATTTCAAGAAGAATTTTAATTACAGGTAGGTAATATTATTTTGAGGCTTCATTTTCATATATCTCCCTTACATCTTTTTCACCATTTAGTTCACCTGTTCATTTTCAGTTTCCTTATGTTAATAAGCCAAGGTGCATATGATTATCTGACGTTTTGCTTTTTTGAGTTTCTACTTTTTTGTTTATTTATTATTTTCATTTGGTTCTCTTTTATTTATTTTTATTTTTTCTTTTTTGTTCATTTTTTTCAATCACTTCTATCCTTCCACTCAAATCCTCCTTTAACCCACTACTGAAATTAGAGCCATCAGCTCCTCCTCAAGACATTAGTTGCACAAGCCCCAGCTCCACTAGCATTTTGGTAAGTTGGAAACCTCCACCGTTGGAAAAACAGAATGGCATTATCACTGCATACTCCATCAAGTACATTGGAATTGATGGAGAAGACGTCAAGCCCCATGAAATTTTGGGAATTTCCTCGGACAGTACCTGGTACCTTTTGGAACAGCTGGAAAAGTGGACTGAGTACCGGATCTCTGTGACTGCTCACACTGATGTTGGACCTGGCCCTGAGAGCTTAGCAGTATTGATTCGGACAGATGAAGATGGTATGTTGCCTCCACTACATCAGTTTGCACCTCTATGACTCTGTCATCTGCTGTCTTTTGTATAGGCTAACAGTAATTTTTCTGCTCCTCTTTTTTTTTTTTTCTTGAATATAACCAGATATTGTCACCCTTTAAGCTTTTTATTCAAAGACTGTTCTTTCTACACCATTTTTCTATTTGGTATTTTTGTATTTTTTTAATCAGAAAATATTTTTTTGCAAGTGACATGAATCTGCTGCTCCTTTGAGCCCATACATATTCTTCTTGCTCCTCCTTTAATGAAAAATAACACCTAGGGGAAAAACTTCCTGCCTTTTCCTTGATTTTACCATCATTGTCATTTTTGAAATAGTTATGTGTATAAACTTTTTTTCAGGTCTTGGTTTTTTTGGTTGGTTGGTTTTTTTTAACTGTTTTCTTCTTCCATATTATGCTTTTTTATTTGAAGGTTTTTTTGGGTTGTGGGTCTTTTTGTTGGCTTTTTTTTTGTTTTCTTTTTTGATCTTGGAAAACTGATGCTCCACACATTTTCTTTTCTTCCATTCTTGAAAGTGACAGAAGACAGACTTGTAATCAGCCTCCTTTTTATCCTGAGGAAAAAACAAACCAAAATAAAACGTAGAACTTGACAAACAAAAAAAAAAAAGGGCAACTTTTTTTTAATCTTTTGTGGTTTTGTTATTATTATAGTATTATTATTTCAATGATTAAAATCTCTCTTTGTACTACAATGCTTTGAATCTCAAAGCATCTTCCTTGGCTTTTGTACATGTTTTTTTACATGTTTTTACATGTTTTTCTATTTCTCTAATACTCCTTTTTCTTCCATTTTTTGCATCAGTCATTTTTTTGATCTTTTCACTGAAAGCTAGAGCAGATTTGTTGAGCATCTTCATTTCCTGAATGATTTGTATTCTTCAGAGACAACATAGTGAGTCTGCCCTTTCTTAAAAAAAAGTGAAAGACATGGGTGGGACAGGTGGCTGTAATTCTCTTCTGTCCAATGATGTTGTTCCAGTTCCTAGTGGTCCTCCTCGCAAAGTCGAGGTGGAGGCTGTCAACTCCACCGCTGTTAGAGTGTCTTGGCGCTCGCCGGTGCCCAGCAAGCAGCACGGCCAGATTCGAGGCTACCAGGTCCACTACGTCAGGATGGAGAATGGAGAGCCAAAGGGCCAGCCTATGCTAAAAGACATCATGCTGGTGGATGCACAGGTAATTGGGAGACTCCATTCTTTTCAAGGTCACAGGGAAAACATTTTATTTACCAAAGAGTTGCCTTTTGTTGTTGAAGGTATTTGTTCTTTCTATTGAACAGTCTAGCATTTTCTGCCTCTATTTTAAAAACCTTTTTCGGAACACTTGCATTTAAAGGTTCTTGGGCCAAAACAAGACACTTTCTTCTCTGTTGATCTCCATCTAAATGCTAGGCTATGTCATTGTTCTGATTCTGCTAAACCTGGAGACTTAACAGATACTCTGAAATTTTAAAGCACCAGGGTGATCTGATCCAGAGTCAGTGTAGTAAACTGTGCATGGCCTGATCCACCCATCTCCTATTTCAGTTTCAGTGGAGAGCTTAGGATCATTAGAAACCTGTGTTAGCCTGTTATTACAGTGTTTCTCTTATTAGCTTGTACACACCTTACTATATATTTCACAATAAATTAATGTTCTTAAGGTAACTTTAGAAACCACTGAGGTGTTATACTTTCCATCATTCATATCAGGAGCATCAATAAAATGAGGAACTTAGTTTGAATAGGTATGTGGTTATTTATATTGTAAAATTTCCCATCTATTTTAGCAATTATGAGAATATGAGATAATGAATGTTTTTAAACATCCAGTTTAAAAAGCTTCTCAAACCAGGATTTTACTGATTGAGATATACCAGCCCTCTGTAAAACTTAAGATTTACAAAACTCCTGATACTGAAGGGGTCATCCTATGAGAAACTATTATCCCTTATACATGTCTCACTGCAGGCTCACAGTGTATGACTGGATTGACTGGAAACAAAAAGAAATTATTAACTTAAATCAAAGAGTAAAATCTCTTGTAATGGTTTGTAAACATTTTACATAAGTAAACAAATAGGGGGTTGCCTTTTTTTTTCCCCCTTCAGTTTTGGTTCTGAATTTCAGATTTGCAGAGACCTCTTTGGACAGTAGGTCTCCTACACCTGCATTTTGCTCATGACGCTGTTTTCAAAATAGTGTGTCTGTTTCTGGAGGACTTTGCTGCCAGTACTTACTTTCTTATTTTGGAAAACATGGTGTTCTTATGGTTTAAATTAAATGGAGACAAAGATGAAAGTAGATCAGGAAGTGGGAAGGGAAGGGACATGCTAGTGTGCTTTGGTTCTCCTCTTCACAAATTTTTACTTTCAACCTCTCTCAGGTAGGGGATTAAAATGATTTTAAACACTAGAAGGTCAGTAACTGGAGACTAGATGAGATATAAGAGTCCAAATACCATAAAGGCAAAAGTTGTATTTCTTCTTTTGTCAGGTTTAGCTTTGACCAGCCCACTTGCCACTGTTTCAGGAAGGATAGTCAACTCCTTTCTCTTCCCACCACTCCTTCCTGCCTGTAGTACTTCTGTGATATGTGTGATCAAGGCTTGTGCTGGTATGAAGACCTTGATAGTAAAATATCTGTGCGGTTACAAAACTTAATGCATTGAATTAGTTTAGGAAACTGAATCTGGTAACTTGATTAAATAAATCAGGTAGCCTTTAATTCTTCCTTGGTAACTTTATTAAAAACTATTATTATAGTATTATTATACTATTATTATTTACTATTATTATACTATTATTATTTACTATTATAAAATAGTATTACATGGTACAAGAGGATTCATTACTTCTTTTATTTGTCAGTGAAAGAGAAGTAGCTGGATTTTAGGGAAAGCAGGAATGGAATTAAAAACGCCTGGCCTGATTTCATTAACCAAATTTCATGTGATTCTATATGGATAATTCAAACTGTACAAGATGTTTTCAGACATCTTTCATATTCATTCTGCTATAAAGAAGAAAACTTTATCTCAACCAGGCTACAAATCTCCTTATTTTTTTTGTTTTTCCTTTCGACTTCCTTTACTGTAAATTAGTGGGAATATGATGATACTACTGAACATGTAAGTACTTTTTGACTGGACAGAAAAACATTGTGTGTTTTGGTTGAGATTTTTTTTTGTCTTGCTTGTTTGCTTGTAGCACTGTATGGTTTTGTTTTGGGTTGGGGTGTTTTTTGGTGCTTTCTTTGGGTTTGTTTTTTTTTGTTTTGGTTTTTTGTTTTGCAGGGTGTTTTTTTTTATATTTGCACAAATGCATGTTCCTAACATTAAGGATTTTCTCTTATGACACCTTTTTTCTTTGTTGTTCTATTTTTTTTTTTTTTTTTTTTTTTTTTTTACCCCAGGGAGAGTAAGGTTACTGTTGTTTGCCTGTTCTGGGGTTTAGCATGATGCCAAAATGTACAGCACTGATTTGTGTTTTCATCTTTTTGATAGCTGTCACTAACTTTGCCTCACAATTTCTTCTTTACAAGGTGATAGAAAATAAAACAGAAGCGGTTCAGAGTTACATACCAATAGTTGTATTTTTCTGTATTCATTTTAAGATTAAATTTTTTTTGTGTAACTGAAAGTAGAAGTCAGTTGTGCTTTCTTTTGTATAAAATAAATACATGCTATCAGGAAAGCCAGATGCCCTGCAGTGTTTATGCCTAAGTAATAATGTTTGCTGTATCCAAACAACACTTTCAAACATTACATACAGCCATAGCTCTTGTACCATGAAGTATTGGTTGTTTTAGATGAAACCAATGTCTTCATAAGTCTTTCTGTTTTGTGGTTGTCTGGTAGGGTTTTTATGCCTTTTACTGTTTAATTCTGGTAGTGCCAGGTGCAGTTTTCTTATGAAAGATATGAAGTTTTTCTAGTGATTTTGGCCTTACAGCTCAATTAAATTCTGAGATAGAGTCTAAGAAGTTGATCTTTTGATAGTAGATTTTTATGTATTGCTTCATTCTGTTGTTTGGTGGTTTTTTTTTTGGTTGGTTTTTTTTTTTTGTTGTTTTTTTGTTTTTTTGTTTTTTTGGGTTTTTTTCTTGAGCTATTTTGCCCACTCATTCTGATCATTACCTAATTATTTCTGTATTGGTAATAACTGACTGTAAATACAATGCTGAATTCTAATCACATATTTACTAAGCTCATATCCACTATCTTGAAAAATCCATGTACTATGAATAGTCTGGCCCATGATTTTTATATCAACTTTTCATGGCTGTTGCATCTCAGGGATGTGTGATTGCACATTTGCTATTTATTTAGATGTATAAATATACTATCCCTCTGGCAGCATTGAAATGTAGTACAAGTTCATTCAGCCATATGAAAATACAAAGAGTAATCCAGTGGTTACATGCTGGAAGCTGGGGACACCAGGCCCGTCATTTACCTCCAAATACTGTCCTTTTACATTTACATAAAAGATTTATTTATATTATGAGTGTCAGAACTTACTCCTCTTGCTGTCCCTGCACTGGGACATAAGTTTAGTACATTTCTCGTACACCGTTCAGCCTCTTCTGTGTGCCTGTACGTGTGCATGCACACACATATGAAAAGATACCCCCATGCTCTGATATTTACAGTTTGATATTGTTGCTGTAACTTTGCTCTAGCTGAGGAGAGATACTTGTTGTAGCTGCTGTCATCTGAGGGCCATCAGATCTATCCTCTCACCAGATTTTTAGTGGTGTTTTACATAGTCCTTTAGACCTTCAGGGCTAGTTGTTTTTGAAGTCCTTTCAGATGTTGAGAAGCACAGTCTACCCAGTGGCACAGGTTACAATGAAAGTGTTATGAAAATAACAAGGCTTTTTTGTTCAGCTAAACCATCATTACTTACAAAGTGTGGATGTAAATGCACACATTTTTCTTACTAGGCGTTTTAGAACTATACCAGTGATATCCTGTTCATGATTAAGTTAAACTGAGTTTCTCATATCTACATGTGCATGTGTTTCACAATGTCAGTAGTATTCCTCAGGCAAGGTATTTCAGAACACTTTTTTCACTGTTCACACCGCTAAACCTTTGGTCTTTTGCTTTAAAGTACCTGAGGTATACTGTTTATATGTGTGCTGTCCTTTATTGCTTGAGTGAAATGTTTGGCGTTATCAAGTATTTCACACAGTACAGTCTGTTGGTGCACTCACACGCTTGCTATCACTGCCAATAGCTCAAAAGTGTAATATAAATCAGTTTCTAAAGGATTCTGCATTCTCCTGGCACACAATCTGTTTTAAATTAATTGTTCTTATTTTATGTTCTTTCATCTTAGGAAATGTTAATTTCTGGGCTTCAGCCAGAAACCACATACTCTTTCACTGTGACAGCCTATACAACTAAAGGTGACGGAGCACGCAGCAAACCCAAACTTGTGTCTACTACTGGTGCAGGTAATACTTATATACAAATTGAGCTCTAAATGAATCCTTTGACTTTTTCTGCTACTGTTTTGTTCCTACTATTTGGAAGTCTCCTGTTGTGTGAAAATTGTTTCTAGGCACTGGATTTTCTGCTTCAGTATTTGGACCTTCATTTATGTGGATAAAAATAGAGCAGTACCTCCCTTTATCCCTTTTTTAGTTCCAAATGAGGTCACTTTGTAGTTTTTAGTAGCTCTTCCGCTAAAATTGGTGTCTTCTTTGAGAGGAAAAAATAGAAATTCAGAGCTCAGAAGGATATTTGAAAAACTTGTAAAGGGCTTTCATGATCTTCATGAAAGTAGCAGCACTGCTGCCTGTTAGTAAAAACATTGGAAGAACCCATCTGTATGACATTCACAACTTATCTCAAAAGAATGTAATTATTACAGCAGAGAATTGCAAAACAGAATGAAACTCCATCCTGTGAAACGCTGAAGCCCATATTGATTCAGGGGTAATTTTAGGAACAAAGTGGGGCAAAATTCACCCTGCCACTGTGTTCAGCCTGTGTTTGATCTCAGGTGGTGTTAAAGGTTGAATATCTTGACTGCATAACCAATGCAGATGGGATGTGTCTGTGGCACAGCTTAACCCACCACAGGTTTAGTGTCATGCTCACCTACAGATGTTCCCAAAATGTAGGTATTGTGTTAATTTTCAGGGGTTTGTAGTGCAGCCATTAAGGGTATTCTATTACAATCACATATAGCACCATTACAGTTTCTCTGAATAACAATGTATTGTTTATGCTTATAGATAAAATCCAAAAGGTATATATATTTGTATTTATAGTGATTGATTCAATTTTTAAAACAATCACTGAATGCAGGGCACATCTTGTATTAATATCAAAACCATTTATTTTTTTTTTTTTCTTGTTAGATTCCTTGGAAAAATCTCAGTCTTGGTGGCTAGATGTGCCATGCTTCATTTCAGACCTTAGAATACATTCTAGTCATTACTCTTGGCTAATGCTGAAACGTACATTCTAACTTCTTTTCTTTCCTGAATTCTCATACTCTGAGAAAAAAGGTGATATCTGTTTCAGTCATGAATTGGAACTTGATTTAAGAAAAAAAAGGCACTTGATCCATTACTCTTTTTTAAAGCTCAATTCCCAGTTGAAATAAACACAGTTGTATAAATTGAGATTTTATTAGGTCCTAGACATAAACATAGTTTATGCAAATATGCTTGCAAAACTTATAATTTCACTGCATTTACTCCTTATTGATTGTTCATGTATCATTCTACCAAGATCTCTGATGCTTCTGCTTAAAAAAGACAGAACAAATGCTGTGTCCCATATATACTTGATTGAAGAGCAATGGAGAATCAGAGGCATGTCTATAAATGTAATACTGCACTGTTCTTGTTGTTTGCTTAAACCTGTGAACAAGTAGTGTTTGTTCTTGGGATTAATAGCTAGTTACCATTCTGCTCCTTCATACATTCCAGACTGTATGAAATCTCTTCACTTTTTGTTACAGCTTGCTGTGTTTAAGCTGGTTTTGTAAGAAAAATTTGTATGCAAATTTTTGATAAATAAGACATTGAATATAGTCAGTACCAAGAGCTTCCTGCTTACTTTCTGTGAAAATGCATCACATGAGGGAAGGAATGATGCATTAACACCAAAGGGTTGTAGGTCTGTAATGCAGTCACCTTTTCACTTTCAGTCTCCATTTGATTTTTTTTTTCTTCCTAGAAGGGTGCTATTGAAATACTACAGTAAAGAAAATGAAGGATCTGACTTTCTAGTCTAACTTTTAAAGTTTGAATGAGATTGACTGAGATTATATCCATAAAAGATATGAAAGGAGAATAGATGTTTGAACTTTTACTAGAGAAGCTATTTGTAAGGTATTCAGACAATACGTAGCTATTCAGCTGACAAGTTAGTGATACAAAAGCATAATTTGCATTTCTAGGCAGGAAAGATTCACCAAACACAAGTAAGCCTATACTATGGTAACTCAGTTATTAGTAAAGTCACTGAACGTGGTTGATATTTTTATTCAAGAGTGTGTTTTTGTCTTATGTTTGGTTTCCGTTCCTCACTGTTGAAATCAGATGGAACAAAAACTGTCATTGAACATTTCTAAATCAAAGTACTTATTAAATTACTTGAGGCAGAAATTACGAAATGTATGATTAACAAGACCATGATAAAAATGAAGACTTAATAGTCAGTGATATCATACAATTTTTATGAAGATTTTAATCAGACCTTTAATTTCTGTGTCACAGTAGTTGAAGAATCTCACAGGGCAATAACTTGTCCATTACTTGTCTTTTGCTTTCATACTGGACAGCACTCTTAAAATACAGATTTCAGCTAAAAAAACAAAAGTTTATAATAAGACAGTGGTGTACTTTATGTCAGCTAAGAGAAAAAAGTTACTTCAGGTAATTTGGCAAAGGCAGCTTGCATGAGCAAGCCATTGCAGCAGTAATATCTGTTGCAAAGCGGTGTGTGAAAGATGTTTTGCTATTTACTAATGGAAGAGAATTTCACTAGATCAGAGAATATATTTTATTTTATGGACAATTTCACTTCTTTTAGGCTAATGGAAAATTCAGATTATTATCAGAAATTTCTAGAAAGAGCTATTTGGTGATACAGCTGTATATACAACTGCACAGAATCCTGTCATTTGTACTAAAAGACTGTAATATTCATAAGTAAGTAATACTGAAAGCAAATGTTAACTGAAAGCTGTCTGGAAATAAAAAGAAATTTGTCTCCCTTACAACATAAGATAGGCTTTACAGTATTAAAAAAGTGACCATTGTTATTTGCTATTTTTAGTCACAGGGTATTTTATTGAATAAGTAAACTTTATTAGTTCCCTGACTCTGATCAAGAGCAAGTATTAGTTTCTTCCTTTCTCTGCAGTTATCACAGAGGTTAAAATGTCATTCTAATGGTGAAGTCTGCCACAAGAACAAAAAAAAAGGGCAATTTATTACAATAATACTTTAGTTATACCTTCCAATAATCTCTCCTCTAGAAAACTGAAGGGGTATTATTCTTTTTAGGTAAAATATTATTTTCTCTGCTACACTGGTGCCAGTAATAGATAGAATACAGAGAAAAATATGGCCTGCAAAAGGCCTTCACATTCTCTTTGTTCCGTAAAGACTTTTATTTATCATTGAGGAAAAGTCAGAACTGATCAGAGAGATATTCTTTACACAGCAGAAAGTGTAGGAAAACACAAGATTCCACAATAATGCTGCCGGGTGAACTCAACGTCTAAATTTAAATCTATTTGGAAAATGTATATAAAACCTACCTATAATTCTTACAAAATTAGAAGCAATGTCATGACTTATGATGGATGTAATGAGGAAAGAGCTTACTAAATGCAGAATTTTTTTCAAGGCATGCCATTCTTCCCTCCTTACTCCTAATTCTTTATGGTATGGTGGTTAGACCTTCTGACAATAGCAATCTGATTCGCTGGGTGCCTGAGAACTGAAGATAAGTAATAAAATCTATTAAAGTGCTTACGTGAACCAGAGCTCACAGTGCAGCAGTTGCATTCACATGGGAAGGCTTCGAATGCAGATGAAACTAATTAGTCTTTGTTGGAGACTGTGTTGTCATTGCAGTGCTATTCCCAAAACTGTTCTGGTCTCTTGACCTGTCAGGCATTGGTAGGGAATGGGCACCAAATTTCTAAATAGTTATGGATATGTTTCATTATCAAATAAATCACTGTAATAGAAACAGACTTTTTTGAAATTGAGGTATTATTGAAAATATAAATGAAATGTGTGCAAATTTATATGAACAAATAAAAATTAATGAATCTATGAAATAGAACCAGTAAATAAGAATTCATATAGGGACTCCAAAAATGTACACTGTATAAATTCTATAATGGCATTTCTGGCTTGATTAATATTCAGTCCTCTCTGGATTGATTCAATTTAATTCCTCCTCAATATCTGTACCAATGGATACATACCAGTCTGAACTTCTCTAAAAGACAAATCACCAGTTTGGACCAATGGGTCCCAATTAAGGTTGTGATTGTATGTGGTGTAAAGATTAAGAAAAGCTACCACTTTATAGTTCTTCAAAAGAAATCCAGTTCATGTACACAAAACCCGTGCTGGAATATAAATCATATGTGATAAGCCATGCTGTAAAATATTAAATTCCAAACTGCACTACCTCTCCACACTGTGTAGAGGCAGAAGTGCTTTTTTGTATGGAAACTAGAATGACAGGGTTCTATCCTCTCTAGTAATGATTTTTGAGGGCAAGGTTGTTCTGACTTCTACTGCATTTTTACTATTAATGATAAAGTTATGGTAAACTTATCTAGAAACTTGTTATTTCTTCAGTAATTATTTTCCCATTTACAGGAAATATGCCTTGGATTAAATACATGAAAACTTATCACAGTACTTTTTTTTTTTTTTTTTTTTTGCAAACAAGGATTTGTGAGACAGGACCATTCATAAGACGTTTGCAGGAAGTTTTACTTCTTGATTTGTGTTCCTAGATCCTGTGCCTCTGAATGTGCTCTGTATTTAGAAATAATGGCAAGGGAAGAAGATAAAAGCAGTAAACATCTCTACTGTTGCAGTTCCTTATACTGTATTACTAAATAGTGCAGGAGCCAGACACTATTTCTTCATTAGGACAGTAATATGTGGAACTAAGAGTGAGGAAGGAGAAAATATATCCCTATTCCTGCTAAAAAAACTAGCCTCAAGAATTTGTACATGCAATTGTGTTTATATCTATCCTCTTTAAATAACATTGTGCTACAGTTCCAGGCAAACCTCGGCTTGTGATTAGCCACACACAGATGAACACGGCTCTAATTCAGTGGCATCCTCCAGTGGAAACTTTTGGCCCGCTGCAGGGTTATCGCCTGAAGTTTGGTCGCAAAGACATGGATACATTAACGACCATGGAGTTCTCAGAGAAGGAAGATCACTTCACGGCCACAGACATTCACAAAGGAGCTTCTTATGTCTTCAGGCTCTCAGCTAGAAATAAAGTGGGCTTTGGGGAGGAGATGGTTAAAGAGATTTCTGTTCCTGAAGAGGTACCCAGTGGATTTCCCCAAAATCTCCACTCGGAAAGCTCTACTTCAACATCAGTTCAATTAACTTGGCAGATGCCACTCTTGGCAGAAAGAAATGGCATTATCACCAAATATACCCTCTTGTACAGAGATATCAATGTTGCTTACCAGCCAGTTGAACTCCCTGTTGTTCCTGCTGATACCACTATGACACTTTCTGGCTTAAAACCAGATACCACTTATGATGTAAAAGTACGTGCCCACACAAGCAAAGGGCCTGGTCCATATAGTCCGAGTGTCCAGTTCAGGACACTACCCGTGGATCAAGGTAGGATTTGTCTGCTTATGGCGTTGACCTTTAAAGGAGTGGCGGTCTTTGGATATCAGTGTATTTGAAGGTGTAAATAAAACTGACCGGCCCATTCATAAAAATAGGTTCATCAAACACAAAAGGTAAAGTATATAAATCTTAATATGTTTTGGATGCCTTAGAAATCAGTTGTCCCTTGCCAAGCAAGTTCTGGCTAACTTCTTCACAATATTTTCAGGTAAGGAAAATGTGTGTATTGAGTTGCACTAGATAAGAATGAGAACGAGTTTAAAGTGATACTTAAATATGAACTAACAGGTAGGAGAATTGAATTCTTGTTGAATTTTTGATCTAAATGGAAAGCTAATACTCCCAAGTAGCAATGGAAAAATTACAAGACGTAAGCTCCAAGATGTTGTTTATATACAGTGTTTCTTTTTTTCCAGCAGTGTTTGCAAAAAATTTTCATGTTAAAGCAGTAATGAAGACTTCTGTTTTGCTGTCCTGGGAAATTCCAGAAAACTACAATTCAGCTTTGCCTTTCAAAGTAAGTTACTTTCCATTTGTACAAGAGAAAATAACAGAAACTAGACAATGTGTTCACCTGATTAAGTAGCTTACTGAACATGAATCATAAATATGTATTGGGGTATTGCAGTTTCTAAGATCGCTAATTATTCATTCACCACTACAGTATTTTAAAGAAAACAGTGGAACAAAATAAAATTTTTCTTCTTTTTTTCTAGTCCTTTAAATAGAGAATGCAATTGAGTGACATTTTGGGTTTTGCCTCCTCAGTGTACAAAAGCATGTTTTTGATTTGCCATTCTTTTACTCCACTAGCTATAGCTTTATCCAGATACAGAGACCCAAAGTAACATCCAGTCTTGCCTGGAATTTCTTCTGCTTCATTCTTAATCACTTGTGTCATCTCAGGCAGTGGCAAATGAAGAAGTGTTTTGAGAAGTAAATAGTACAAAAACCTTTCTAAATAAGGAGTGTGAATGAAAAAATCAAAGTACTTTTAACAAGAGTACCTTGGTATAAATTCTGGGTTCAAGAAAAGCTGCTTACTTTGAAAAAGTGTATTGGATTTCAGGAGTGTTTACATTGCTTTATATTGATGTAATACTTCTGTTTTTCCCCTGAAAGTAAAAAGTTTACTTTCAGTAGTGAATTCAGTACTGCTTTACACCCTAAAATACCCAAATAAATTAAAATTAAAATCAATTATTTAAATTTATATCTAGGTTGATTCATTCATTCAGTGTGACAGCATCATTTGCTCTCTCCTAATAACCAAAACTACTGTTGTGTATTAACTTAGATCCTTTATGATGATGGGAAAATGGAGGTTGATGGACGTGCTACTCAAAAGCTAATCACAAACTTGAAGCCAGAGACATCATATTCATTTGTCCTGACAAACAGAGGGAATAGTGCTGGGGGTCTTCAGCACAGAGTAACCGCAAAGACTGCACCAGACGTGCTTCGCACAAAGCCAGTCTTCATTGGAAAGACCAACTTAGATGGAATGATAACTGTGGAACTTCCAGAAGTACCCTCAAATGAGAATATAAAGTGAGTGAATGACATACTATTCTTTTTAGCTCCAGAGAGATGATCATTCTAACTCTTGATGGTTGACCATGGCTTTATTTTTTATAACAGTACAGAGACTACAGTGCTCTACAGTAGTTTTTGACCTAGTATTGGTGTAATATTTGATATAGTAAACTGGGAGGTGCTGTTGTCTCTCTCATGGGACAAGAGGTCTTACAAAAGGATATAGGTAGACTGGAACACTGGGCAGTCATGAGTGGCATGAAAATTAAGAACAAATGTTAAATTCTGTTGTAAAGGTCCTTGAGTGCATTCAACAGGGGGCAACAACGACGATGGAATGACTGAAAGGATTGTCCTGTAAGGAGCTGCTAAGAGTTTTGAGCTTGTCTAGTTTTGAGAAAAGAAGGGTGAAGGCTGACCTCCTTGCTCTCTGCAGCTTTCTGAGGAGGGCATGTGAAAAGGGAATGGCATCCATTTATAGAATATAAGACAATGCTTCAGAGCTGCATCAGGAGAGGTTCAGATTTATTAAGAAGCATTTGTTTACTGTGAGTGTTTTCAAACTGGAAGAAGCTTCCGTGTCAGGTGGTTAATGTCCAGGCATGTCAGTGTTTAAGAGGTATTTGGATGATGCCTTTAATTTGTTTTAACTTTTGATCAGCCCTGAAGTGGTGAGGTAATGGGAATAGATGATCACTATATATCAGTTCCAGCTAGAACTCTTAAATTTGTCACATAGACAAGTATGTAAGACTTGTATGAAGACTGATTGTCCTTCAGTTTGTAGATTTTTCTCAGAGTACTTTTGTGTTTCATCACAGACTGCAAAATGAGGGATGCAGAAAACCAGTTATATTTTAAACAATATATCATCTCAAAAAGAATGGATACCCATCAATGCCTAATTACCCTGCTGTAGCTCCTTGAAGTACTCAGACTCAGTCACTCAAGAATTATATTGAGTTTTAAAGAATTGGTACTGCACTAAATTCAGATTAGTTATTTCTGATAGTTTTTATCAGGATAAAAATACCTTGTCCTCTCCACTGGTCTCAGAAAGAAAACAAGAGTTTGCTAAAAAAGTCGGAAATTTTCCAGAGGTTACATAGATTTTGGAAAGGAACAGGTAGTGTGGAAATTTAAACAGAAACAGGACTAAAGACCTGAGAGCACATGGTCAGCAGGGATTAGAAAGGTTAGACAATAAAGATTTGCCAGGAAAACACGAAGCATAATACAATCAATAAGTGTTATTGCTCTGCTTATAATGATTCTGGTTGATCTGTAAGGTTCCCATATGTAATGTAAAGGAAATGGGAAGGAAAATGAGCCAGTCACTAAATGATGGGAATTCAACTTGTCCTCTCCCTGGTGGATTTTTACAGCTTGCTAGAAAGCTGCCCCCTTTTTCATTACTTACTGAAGAATTTGAGGCAGGTAAGGTCAAGAAATAAATGACTTCGAAACATTAAAAGGATGAAAAACTGAAAAATGTAGTCATTATCATTAGATTGAGTAAGATGCGGTCAGTAACAAATGCAGCTAAGGAAGACTGAAGATGGAATGAGTCAAAAAAGATTTATGAGGCAGAGCATTCACAGAGAGAAAAATGTGCAGGATAGCTGATCAAACAGCAGCAGAAGGTAGCACTGGAATAAAAGACAATTCCCTTCTTTTTATATAGTATAAAAAAGTTAAAGAGGCTAAGTGACATGAGAAAAGGTACATTAAATCTAGAGGGTCCAACTGCCAATTTTGCAAATAATGTATCTCCTATTTGTGCATCTATTTTCTAAGATTTGATCTGGCTTGATAAAGTAAAACACAACAACAAACACAACACTCACTTGACCCTTGGAGCAGACATACCAAAGCAAGTACATGCTGAACAGAAAGCCTGACCTGATGCTTGCACTAATAAAATAAGTAAGGTCATTCTGCATTAGTCTTTATATGGGAAGAACAATTTCATGTATTAGTCATGTTCACATTTTTAGACATGCTGCTCCTCTATTGGTACATTATATCCTCAGGACTGTCCCTGGCTTACCATGAAGTACTGAGAATTTTTCAATAATACTAATTACACAGAAAGGGAAACAGGTAATAGTTTGCTGTACTGGGGAATAGGTAATGAGATTGAGGGTAATATTATAAATGCCTTTGTAATATTTGTAATTAAAGAAGTAGTATTTATCAATGTTTGATGGTGATGCAGCATAGAAATTGGTGCAGAGCTCACCTTATGAGTAGTAAAATAATCTCTTTTGCTCAGCTTAATTTTTCTTTCTTTTAGTATTTTTGGCTATTTCCAAAGCAATTTTTATGTGTAAAGGACAGTTCATTTTTGTCTGAATCTCACATCTTTGAAAAGTCTTAAGTAAAAACAGAGTTTTGTGGAAGATTTTGGCCTCTCAAATACTCAGTAGATAAAACAATATCCAAATAAACCCTTTATTTCTCACCCTCCTCCCCCCTCTCCCCCAGAAAAAACTCCAACCTAAAAACAAACAAGCAAGTAATGAAGTAAACTATAAAACGCGTTTTTCAGGAATATGCTATATTTTACATAATTAACTAAAAATCACAGAATTTTGTTGTCCTTCACAATTTGCAGCCCTGCATATTGGTGTGAAAATTTTCATTTTTCTGCTTACTATTGATCTGCTTATTCTTTCAGTTCAAAATACTCTGCGTGTGCTGAAAGTCTTAGTAGATTTTCAAAGTTATGAGAGGAACACTTTCATGAGGGAAGTGAAAAAGAGTGTGAAAGTTACAATTGCATGCTGGATGTTCCTTGATTGAAAAGAAAAATGTATGAACACTCCATTAGCTTAAAAAATAAAAAGATGAAGAAAAAGAAAAGAAAAGAAAAGGATAAGTATATGTCTTAGCTGTTTGAACATATAGAGGGGCAAGCTCTCACTTCTTTTTGTCTTGATTCTCAGACATCTGTTAAAGAAAGGGCATGTCAGTCAGTGTTTACTAGGATTTGCTGTTCAAAGTATTTTTAATAGACCAATTCAGGTTTAAAACGTGGTGTCACCCAGTCTCACAGTTTTTAATATTTTTAAAAGATGATTTATAATGCTGTCACTATAAGAATGTATGCCACAGATGTTTTTTGAAATATTGGAATACAGCAAGTGGACACTTATTAAAAATCTGTGGGCAACACTGCTTTGCAGTGCTCCTGCTGGAGCTTATCATTTCCACAGAAAATTTCCTCAAATTTCTTAACACAAATATTATTGAATACACTTTCTATAGGAGCTGAAAATCTAAAGTTTTGTTACATTTCTTTTATGGGAAAGAGCTTTAAATAAGAAGAGATTATTAAAATGGATCAATGGTCTGCACTGGTATGGTAAGAAAGATAGTTTAGAGTTGGCTTAGATTGAGATGTTTTTTAGTCAGTATTAAGGCAGCTCCTTTTCTGTAGACTCTTTGTTAATTACTAAGGATTTTCAGCTGCATTTCATGAGTAAAATTAATGGTTTTGCAGAAGGTTGAATGGGTTGTAAAAAAAAAAAGCAGACTGGAAGGAGAGATGACCCATGAGACACTAAAATTACATTACATAATGAGACCCAGAAACATCTTAATAAGGTTTTGTTACTAGAAACAAAGAAAATATTTCTTTCCCTCTCCCCTGATATGGAGAGTGCTTGACTTTTTGACAAGTGTGTTTATCAAGAAGACGTATACTACCCTGCATGTCCTGCTGTTGTGATTCCACTGCTTCTTCCCTCACACTAATGTGAAGTTATGGATCTGCCTGACACATATCCAGGCTTTGTGAAGTAAGCAATGAAAGTACCAGATCTCCATCACACTAGAAAATATTATTTACTAGTCTCCATGGGTGGGGGGGGGGGGAAGAAAATATTATTAGAAAAATATTTCTGAGGAAAACTGATAGATGTAGTTTGCAAATCCTAGAGAATATGTATCAAGCTCTCTTACCTACAACTGTGAACAGGATACCTTTGTAGATAGAGCAAATCGCATTTGGTTGTCAAAAGGAAAGAGTAAGGATGCAGTGTAGGTCCTGTTTGCTTTCTTTTCTCTTTACTATGATACTGGCATTAAAAAATACATTTTTTTAAACCTACTATTCTGATTATACATTAAAATGGGGGAAGATGGGTTGGTAATTGAGATTTAAATATATGGTAATATATTTCAATTTAGGGCTTTGTTTTTTTTTTTTTTTTCAATGTGATGGTGGCAGGGCATACATAACCTCTGGTTCTTGTATTTCATGTCGGCATTTTAGTACATTGTAATTAATTTTTTATAAATATTTATATGTTTGCACAAAAAGGCAGGTAATTGGTGCCATTTGTTTGTCAAATGCTTTACAGCTGATGTTATTTCAAGAGTGTGAACATTTACAGCTGTGTTTGGAAGGCTGCAGTGACATACTAATGTGCAGAAGTTTATTCTCAACATACCACTTTTCTCTTAAGTTCCCCTAAACATACCTGCTCTATCAATTTATCTGTTCCTTTTCATTCAACTTCTCTTTTGTCCAACTTTGTCATTTACAGAGGCTATTACATAGTTATTGTGCCTTTGAAGAGGTCTCGTGGAAAGTTTATCAAACCATGGGAGAGTCCAGATGAAATGGAATTAGATGAGGTACTGTATGTGGTTTGGGTTTTTTTTCTCCTCTTTTATTAAAGAAGCAATATCTCTACTGTTAGGTAATTAACTCACCAGTTTTAAAATTTTTTTCAGGGTACTTTATATTCATATTTGTATTAGCCTGTGGAGACTAAAACAAAAATTCAGATTACTTAAATGAGAAAACAGTAAAGACATTAAGTTGAAATAAAGAACACAAAGTGTCTTATATTTGCTGACACTAATATTTTATTCTTTTTCTATTGTAAAGAGTGATGCAAAAGTGCAGGAGGTGAAACGACTTGTCAGCAAAAATTTAATCACCAACAATATGAACTGTAATAAAGGTCTGGTTCATTAGAGGGGTGTTTACTAAGACTGTAACAAATGCTAAATTGCAATTTGCACCGCAGTTTAACATTTGACCTTCTGGTGGTGTTTTTACCTGATTGTGATATACTGTAGTACTTCTGGTGAGACACAGCCTCCATTCCACCAACAGTTTGTGATCAGAAATAAATGCATGAACAAGGAAGGAAAGGGCAACATTGTGTCATCATTTGAAACTATAAATTACGTTAATCCAAGGGGAGGAATTACTGTCATTTTAGAAGTAAGCCCAGCAATGCTGGAAATCAATTCAGTATATTATTGATATAGTAATAATTCCAGGAAATACAATATTGACCCCCATTTTCTGTTTTACTGAAGGACAGTATAGCTCATGCAAACTTGTCCTTCTTTCAATCTGTAAATCTGTAGTAATGCTAATTTTCATTATTTTAAAACTCTTTCAAGGGCCCCTTATGAGAGACTTTTATAAAAAACAGGTGTCATTATTATTCTCATTGTATCTGGCCAAGATTTTAGATAACCTTTAAATGCCGTGATGCTTTATATGTGTAATATGTCTGCAATTCAAAGACCAAAATCAGGATTTTTTTACTCCTGATATAGTGTTCTTTTGACTGTATCTATTTATTTTTCTATTTCCTTTTGTTGGATTCAAGAGATTTATGTTACAGAGATAACCTCACCATATGCTTCTCCATAACAAAGTTACTGGGAAGTGTTGATCACCTGCAAGCAAGCATAAAGGTTCTTTTCTCTAATGCCATTGACAAAATGGATATAAATATCAAACTTTGCCCCAAAATATAGGGAAGATAAAGATCTTCACCAAACTAACAGTGTTGTAGAATGTAAATGGAATTATTTCAGTCCTTGTCACAACATCAGGCAAATCCTTAATCAGAATATTAAAAACAACTAGGCATGATGACTAACTGATTCAACCCTCTGTTTCTTCTTGACCAGTTTCATTTATGCGATCATCTTTCATCATTCAATTGCAGCAATGTCTCGCTTTGATCTATTAACTTCTTCCTTTTAAAAGAACTTGGATTGTAAATGCCATCAGCTCAAGATCATAGTCATAGGTGACATCAAATACAGTTAAAGAGTGAAACTCTGACAGCCACGTCCATACAGTAATAGAAACTGATTGAGTATTACTACTCACTTTTAACATCCAAAGGCTGCAGTCACATTCAGCAGCATTAGGTGCCAGATGACATTGAACTTTCTGGCGATTAAATTCTATGGTTCCTGCTGTTTCTCATAACAAAGGGTCATTTTAATCATCCTGCAAGTTGTGTTGCCTTAGTCGGTATAACAGATTGATAAAGAACATTTATTAATTCAGAAATATTTGTCAGGATGGGTTGTTTCCCACTTCTATTTGTATAATTGAGACGACATTGTAGGATTAATGATGGAAGAAATAAGATATGCATTGACTGGAAAATGAAGTTATTTCTGATAAAGAGCTAAACCCCTTGATACATCTTTTACAATCGCCACCAATACATATCGCAAGAACTGAACAGGGAAAAACATTAAAAACAGGCAGCAACTGCATATCATGGTAACTCATTCACATTCTATTACTTAAAAGACTGGTTTGCTCCAGCTTAGGAAAGCATGCATTTTTTCAAGTGTGCTGTTCCTAACAAGTTTGTGAACACAGTGCCACAATAATTAAATTTTGGAAACTCTGACAACAATACCAACATCCCACACACACCCAAAAAAAAAAAAAAAAAAAAAAAAGACCAAAAAACAACACCAAAAAAACAAACAAACAAATAAAAACCACAAAAAACACAAATAAAACCAAGCAAAAAACCCCAACAAACAAACAAAAAACCCCACACCATCAACCCCCAAAAAACCACTACTCTCTGAGCAAATAGTACCTGATGATCAAGTGAGGATACTTGTACATATTTATATTTTTAGTGTGGTCTCAGATATGTGTCTGGTATTAGAAATGTTTGGGCAATAGATATTTCAAAGAACTATGTTCCAAATACTTTGCTTAGATTGTCAAAGGAAAGTATTTGCTAATAATACAGCTCTTGAGTATAACTCCATTACATAACTGAGCAATCCAAAAAGACTCTTCAGCCTTATTGTAGTTACCTAATCTTCCTGTTCCTTGAACCTCATCTCTGAAAGAAACTAAGATAGTTTTAAAAGAGCAAATAACAAACTAGATGTTTGACATCTGAAAAAAATTATTAAAGGTACAGTCTTTTTTTACTAACACAAAATTTCTCTTTTTTTATTATCATGAGGTTTAGTGGCTTTAAATAGACACATCATGCAAATAAATGAAACAGAAAAAATATTATGATTTGCAGTAAGTATTACCTAGTAGGATTACTTTAGATCTGTAAGCAGTAAAACCTAAAGGCTGCCATGTTAAGTCTTAAATTAATTCAGTAATTTTATTGAAATCTGTGTATAGAGTACAATAGGAGATAGATGAACAAGTAATGATATTTGGCAACAACCCCATTTCCATACGAAACATTAATGAGGCTGCAGGTTCACCTGAGGTCTACTCAGTCATGTGTAATCAATGTTACAGACAAAGTTTTTATCTACACACAAACACACCAAAGTTAACTGGCCTTAGGTGATCTATAACCACCTTTGAAAAGTTTAACTAATTTTATTTTACTCAGGCTAACTAACTTCTAGCATTCATAGCCAAACTCAGTTTCTGATCACTCTGATACTGTACTTCATCATTCCATTTTCTTCCAATGTACGCATTTTCTGTTACTATTTCAAATGCAAGAAATAATCAAGATCAAACATTTTTCTTTGCCTCTCAATCTTAATCTAATTTTGATTGCAGTACTTTGACATTTTATTATGAGTTATTTATAATCTAAATTGTAAATACACTGTAATCTGGAAACATATGATAAAGAATAAAGAATTTAATTGAGGCAGACACATAACTTTAATTCCAGTGGAAGTGGAACATGGAAGTATCAGCTACCCTTGGGGATAGCACAAGCCATATACCTCTACTAGAGCTGTTGTGCTTGTGGCTCCTGACTTTAAGCAAGCAAGCAAGCACTTTTACTACCCCAATACTTACCTTCATGTTTTGGCAGACTTCCAGATAGCCAGTGCTCAGCCCTCTGCATAGCCATTGTTATAAAATGTGGCATCATGCAGACAAACTTTTCATAGTGCTTCCCTCAGCAGATCCTATAAGGGCTGATCTAACCTGGAACTAACTTCGATTATTCTCTGCCTCATGTTCTGCATTTAGTAACACTTCTCGGGGCATAGGAAGCTACCAACAGATGTGAGAGTCACCTTCAATAAAGTAACTAAATAGAAAAGTCTTCAATATTATGGTTCTCTGCTGCCCTCATTTTTATACCACGCAAATAGACTCTAGCTGCTCATTAAACTGTTTAGGAAGAATGAAAGAGAAATATGGACTGCTGATTGGAATAGTGTCCTTGAGTAATGAATAATGATTTCTAGTCTCAAATTATGGCCAGTTCTTTTTTTGCTCAGGGGATCCATTGCACTGTACCAGCTTTTGTGTTCTGGCATTGAAATTGATAGAGGCAAATGGATGTAAAATCTCTGCAACAGGGCATAGACACAGCATTAGAGCTGGAAAGCCATTTATTGCATAAATGTTTGAAGATATAACATCCAAATGCCCTCAGCGTTAAGGAAGTCTGGACTGAAGTGGCACAACTTGCTTTCATATGTATCTGCAACCTTAAATCTAGTCAGTAAGAAGGGGTATCAAATTATTCAGTATTAAAAGCTCCTTTCTGAGTAGCAGAGTGAATATTAGGTTGCTTTACATGCATTGGAATTGTTAATTGTGTAATTGCAGAATAGAAGATCCTGTGAGAGGAAGACAAAAAGATGTGCTCACTAAGCTGTGGCCTAAATAAAGAATGTATTGAAGATGGTGAAGGGCCTTGAGGGGAAGCCATATGTGGAGTAGCTGAGATCACTTGGTTTGTTTAGCCTGGATGAGACTGAGGAGAGGCTTCATTGCAGTTACAACTTCCTTGGGAGGGGAGGTGAAGGGGCAGGTGAAGGTGACCAGTGACTCAACCCCAGGGAATGGTCTGAAGTTCTGTTAGCATAGGTTTAGGATGGATCTTAGGAAAAGAATCTTCACCCAGAGGGTGGTTGGGCACTGGAACAGCTCCCCAGGGAAGTGGTCACATCACCAGCCTGACAGAGTTCAGTGCTCATAGGCATATGGAATGACTCTTGGGACTGTCCTGTGCAGAGCCAGGACTTGTGAGGATCTCTTCCAACTCAACATATTCTGCGATTCCATGATTCTGTGGAGAGCTTCCCTGACTAAATATGTACTTTGAAATCAATATATATAGTTAGGATTGGATTTTAGTATCCTTTTTTTAAATCTCCTTCTCACTCCAGAGATTTGTCTCCTCCTCATAGAAATTAATTTTGTGCTAATCTACTATATTAGAAGTGTTAGTGTGCTGAAAAGACTAAAGAGCTACTTAGAAAAATTTGTGATTTAACTATAAGACTATAGGACCTTGTATAAGTTTCATAAGCAAAAAAAAAAGGGGAACCACAAATAGATCTTAGAAGTCGTAATTTATCACACAGGAGAAGTTCAGACTCCTTGTAATCAAATCAGGCTAATTTTTGTGGAATGCCAGTATATGTAAAGCAAAACAGTATTGAAGAAACAATGTCTGGTTTGTCTGATTTAATAAGTAATTAATGAACGATTATACTAATAGAGATTAAGTTCCTTTATTAGTATGTTTTCCAAGTTTGAGCCTAGCATCTAATCTTGTCACAGATTTACTGGTGTAAATTTTAGCTTTGTTTATCAGAAGTGATTCAGTTGCCATTCCTGGAGGTATTTAAAAAGATGTGTAGTTTTGGCAATTAGAGACATGGTTTAAGGATGGACATGGCAGTGTTAGATTAATGGCTGGAATCAGTCTTAGAGGTCCTTTCAAATGTAATTGATTTTATGATTCTATTCTATGACTCAATATAAAGATAAGTAGATAGTTAGGTAGATAGATAGATAGATAGATAGATAGATAGATAGATAGATAGATAGATAGATAGATAGAAAATATGTAATATGTTATGTGTATTTATATGTCCCCAGAGAAAATATATTGTTTTCTTATCCTCTCCCAACCTCCTCCTAGACACAACAGTATCTAGAAGTTGTTTTATGTTTGTAGTCTAGGCAAGGCAATTGCCTCCTAGTGTCTTATCCTAACAAGAATGTCAAGAATTTGGAAGATTTTGCAATAGATTTAGTGATACTGATATATCCCATGAAATGTGGATAAATTGTTTTTTGTAGTTCCTGGTCATGCATTAAAATTTCTCATTACACTGTCAATAAGTTATGTTAAAATTGTTTACAGTTATCTTTCTGCTCATGCTTGCACTCTCTCTCTCCCCCCGCCCTTTCTTTCCCCTACCTTCGTTTTAAAGCTGCTTAAGGAGATAGCTAGGAAACGCAGAAGCATTCGTCTTGGGAGGGAAGTTGAATTAAAGCCATATATTGCAGCTCACTTTGAAGTTCTTCCTACGGAATTCACACTGGGGGATAAGAAGCATTATGGTGGATTTGAGAATAAGCAGCTGCAGAGTGGTCAAGAGTACGTCTTTTTTGTGTTGGCTGTAATGGAGCACTCTGAATCGGTAAGTTAGTTAATGTTTCTCAATCTCAAAATTACCTTACACAATCATGAAAACATTGTTTCAATGCTTATTCCACTTCCCTAAAGCTTTTTTTAATGTTACATGTCAGAGCATCTTTAAAAGTGAGTGTTTCCTTACTCAATGCCCATTAATTCCTTGAACTCTTCTATTCTGTTTGCACCTTTGTGTATTACTTCAGTGTATAACTGAAACCTAAAAGTCACCTTTTATTAGCTGTGTCATGATCCTTTGAAAATTACATCGTGTATTATTTTTGACCATGGACACAGCTTCTGAGATGTGAACTTTACAGCAGCATCTTTCTCTATGTATTTAAAAGAATTTAAAAGCTGTCTTTTGATGCTACCTTTGAATAATGGTGTAGAATATACAGGGTTCTTGGAAAGATCAATTGAACTAGAGACATGCACTCTCTTTAGTTACAGTCATTCCATAACAATTTTATCAGTAAATTTTTAGAAAGTTAGAAAATAATTCAATGACAGGGAAAATTCCTGAGGTGAACTAAATAATGAGCTGTCCTTTCTCTTTACATAATTCGTTTTGTAGTCACATCCCTTTATGCATGAATTAATCTAATGCATGTAATGTATTAAAAAAGAAAAAAAAAGACAGATGTAAGCCTTTTGAAAGATGCAATACACACTAGCCATTTAACATACAGTCTGTAACACAGTATGTTTCTAATTCGTAACTTAACCTGACAGGTACATTTGCAGGTTCAATCACTTGAAACTCCAACACCAATACTCTGAATTCTAGTCAAATGCTTGCAGTGTATAACACTGCGATTTCTTTCTTTGTGTCAGTGGAATGTGCCTACTTAAGCATGATGAGGAGGTAATTCCACTTTGAATACTTTTAGACATGTAGCTTCATTTGAAAATAAAGTAAATGCCTCCTGCAAGCTCTAACATAAATCAAAAGTTCTCTTTTCACTTTTTGACATGGGCTGCATAGAAAGATAAGGTGTTGCATCAGAAAGGTTCAGAATGGAGAAGGTAGACAGCTTTTTACTATAAAGTTAAGAGGCCATAAATCTGTATGTCATAAATTACCTGTACTAAAATGGATCTTCTCAATGTAAAGTGTGGTTTCTTGTGTTTTTATGTTAATTAAGGTATAAATGACCTAAATGCATTGCTTTGTTAGAAATCAGGATGAAAATAAGGAAGAAATAGGTTTGCAAACTGATGCATATGGCAAAATGTGTATAGGGTCCTACTGCTGAAATACTTCAGAAGGCATTACTGAATTTAGGCTATTGATAAGACATTTCAGCATGCCATCTGAAACATTTATGTGGTTGAGAAGCATGAGGAAGTCACAGACTGTGAAGAATTTTTTAAGGGTGTGTGAGATTCAGCTTTCAATGACTTTCAATGCTCCAGTGTATCAGCTCCCAGCATACATAGATGGTTTTCCTCTAGGACTACAGGTTCTACTGATGTAACTTGCAAGGGATGTTTTTCTTGATATTCAGATGTTACATTTTACATAAGGCTTCTTATTCAGAGAGCACAAAATTTCTCTCTTGATTGGTAGAATAGAGAACTTGAATTAAAAGAGGTCATGGGAAGGTCTGAATTTGTTTAACTTAGTAAAATGGGAGCTGGAGAACTATGATTAAAATCTATAAATATGTTCAGAATGTCATCAAGAGGAAGGAAAAAATAAGATAAATTTTTTAAATAATAAATGAGTTTAAATTTTTCATTAATTCAGGATGGTTTAAAATTGACAGTCAAATCCTGTTTATTGAAGAAAAGGTAGTAAGTGTTTGTACTGTTGCCCTCAATATCCCTCTATATCTTTTTCAAGGCATTTTTGCTGCCCACTCCAAAGCAAGAGGGGAAATACAGAATTTCTTCTTGTACCAATGAACCTTTTTTTTTTATTTCTTGGGAGTGCTAAACCTGGAAAAAAAAATCAATGTACTTGGGTGGTTCAGGAGTGGAACGTGAGGACTCCTCAGTTTCCAATCATCACAGATGTAGAACATAGGGAGGTTTTGGTGTTTTTTTACTGCACCAGATGCCAGGTGGAGTAAAATAATTGGAGATTGTTGGCATAGGTGTTAGCTCAGTAACACTAAGTGCCTCAGCTTTGCCAGTCCTAATCCTGTCTCAAACCCAGACACTGTCATAGCCCAGAGGCCAAAAGAGGGCCAAATGAAGTGTAAAAAACATGTCTTCTTTGATAACACTTCTTTGTCCTGGCTTAGGGCATCTTTCAGAATATGGTGCAAACATAAATGGAAGCTAATCTCTTCTCCCAGTTATCTTATTCTGTTTTAGCTGACATTTCTGATCTACTACTGAATCAAGTTTTAAAGTTTTTTGCAAGAGCTGTAGTTGAAATCCTAGTTTAGTGCTGATGAAGACACACTAGCACAAACAAGAAATATGTACAAACAGTTTTGCACTTCTGACTTTTCTATAAGAGTACTTAAAATGATCCAGTTTAAGCAGGCTGGCTCTTCAGTGTCTCGTCTGTAATTTTAACTCTGCACTCAGCCGTAGATGAAACATCTCAGGTCAGACAAGAATAAAAAAACCCTCTCTTATCACGGGTTTTATCCTAGGCCAGCTGGCTTTACATCATCTAGCAAACCAAAGATTTTCAACAACCTCTTTTGGTTCATAATTCTAGTTTCATCCTTATGAAACACTGAGTGTTTAGCTTCCCTTCTTATTCTACAATGAATTCTCCCATTTTTCAGTCTTAAATTCGAGTAATCTACACCTTGTGTAGGTATAGTCTGTCACACAGTTTTTAACTGGTCAAAATGTACTATGAGTGCTATTGTTGCAAGACCCTTTTCAAGGAACCTCCTACATTCAGTCCCCTTTATTTTTATCTGTTGCAGTCTTGTTATGTCACAAGTACCTTTCATATTGTGCAGGAAGAAAGTGTTAAGCTGGTATGAAACTAAAAAAAACCCAAAAATTGGTAACTGGTGGGGTATATTTCTCAGTGTCCTATACATTTTTTCATTCTCTGCTTAGGTTGCAAAGTGTTCTGCAAGGACTATGCTACATGATTTGTCTGCAGGTCATTGCTAATATGTAGAACACAAAATAAAGATGATAATAGCAACATACTGTTCAATTTGCAAGTTTGTGTATTGCCTTCAAGAAAATAGCATTTACTGTATTCATTGCATCATTACCTTCTATACATTTATTTTAGATGTGGGATAGTAACATATTAATGCATTGCTTTGAGATCCAGTCAGAATTATTTTTATTTCTACAGACCATGTATGCAACAAGCCCATATTCAGATCCTGTTGTGTCAATGGATCTTGATCCCCAACCAATTACAGATGAGGAAGAAGGCTTGATTTGGGTTGTTGGACCAGTTCTTGCAGTGGTGTTTATCATCTGTATTGTTATTGCTATACTTCTTTACAAAAGGTAGGTTTACCTTTTAGTTTTCTTGCAAGGTATGTCATTTCCCCTCTACACTGGTCACTTTGTAATACTGTTCTACACTGTATTTTTGTGCTACAATATTAACTGTCATTGCTCTGGAACATTTTGAAATTTATTAATGGCTTCCAGAATGCTGCAGAAAATGTTGACTGAAAGTTTCCAATAATTAGAGGTATGTGAGTGCATTTTTATGCTGATTATACTATATTAACACTATTGCATTTAAATATTTTTTCCACTTTGCATACATTTGTGTGCAAAGATACATTTGTATGCGAAGAAAGTAAATATGTGCTTGCACATAAATATGTATGGAATTTACACATTTGACTTTTTAGAACTTGTTTATAGATGTATACTAGTAATGCATTAGGGGTTACATTCAGCTTGTTGTTAAATGTGATTTTCATCTCCACTCAAGTAATTTGAATTTCAACTTTTGACAGTTGGCCTCAATTTGGCAATGTATCTATATGAATTTGGAGCTCTGATCTGAGAAATTAAAGAGATATCAAATAGCTGTTTTCTACTAATCTTGCAATGATTAATCTTGCAGCGATTGCAAAATTTCACTCATTCTTCTTTCACTATGACACAGATTTAGTTTTGCTATTACACAAAGGACTTCCCTCTGCCTTACAACATACTCAGAGAAAACTGTGTATGATGCCACAATTTATATGTAGCAGCATTTTGCAGTGTAAATGAGTTAACACGGGTCAAGATACTAAATCAAAACTAAAGAATAAAACTCAAAAAAATTTTTTTAATCTTTATATTTCATTGCTAATGCATTTTTGAAATATATTGATAAATTAGATTTGAGGAATATTCCAAAGATGCTGCCAATTTCTGGGGAGGGGGCACAATAGGAATAATTTTCTAAAATGAAGTATGTCTTCTAAAACTAATGGCTATGACATTATTTCCTGCATATAAATATTTAAATCCAAGCCTGTATGCTCTTCCCACCTTTGGTGTCTCCGTTCAAATACCTCTTAAGTTTTGTGAAGAGAGCTCCCTTCAGATTTTAGAAAGAATTCTCTGTTTGGCAGTAAATAACCACTCCAGGGTTAACTTTACCTTTGGGTTCCAAATAGATATGCATTTATAGAATGGTTTCAGGGCTAGAATCATACAGCATCTGTTGCTTGCAGATACTATGTCTCCTGAACGTTTCTGGTAGTTCACAGTGTTTCAGCCAATCAAATTAGTCACCAACTCTGTTTCTGTCAGTCACTTAAAAAAATGGTCATTGGAGATGTGCTAAAAGTGAAATACTCCTTTCTTCTAATTATTTTACAAGTAAATCTCCCATACTACAAAAAAATCTGAACAATAACATGTTAAGCAGGTGTGCTTAACTGCTTCGAGAGTTACTGGTTACATTCATGGAACCAAAATAACAGTCTTCTAATCTATTACCAAAAAAAAAAAAAAAAAAAAAAAAAAAAAAAAAAAAATTCCACATACGAGCAGGTAAAATTTGATCATCAGTAGTATGAAGAGATTGTCATTTGCTGAGAATGGGGGACATGTTTTCCATCTGTTATTTACTACTTGTACTAGAACTGTTTGGGCAATTGTCCATATGTATTTATTTATTTTTTCTATTTTCAGCTGTTTACTGTAATTTGTTAAACTGCACTGATTTGGCAAATTACCTCCAAGAAATTATGACTGCAGTTTTAGCAGTCTGTGGTCCTCTATGAGCTTTTATTTCTGAAAAAATGTAGTATATAATTGGATATTTTTCCAAGAGTAGGTAACCTGAATGCAAACTTACTGCTAGATTTTGATAGATTTGCTGACTGTAGAAGAGCAATGACAAGACAGATGGGATATTTAACATATTGCTTCAAGAAAACAGTGAAGATTAATTTGTGAGTTAAATAGACTTAATGTGGCTACAGGAGTTAGGTGGGAAAAATATATTAAAGAAACAGGCAAACAGTAATTTTTGTGGATACAGAAAATTTTACAGGTATATTTCTAGAATATATTGGTGTATAAGTGCAACAAGTATGACACTGAGAAAAGAAAATGAAGGTAGAGGGCATCAGTCAAGTTATGAACATATATGCAAAAAATCTTACACAGGATTTTGTTAAAGAATGTGCAGTGTAAAGAGGATGACCAGTAAATGACTGTGTCTTCTGAAGTGCAAAGAGTAGTAACTCAAATAAAGGTCAACTATGTTTAATTCCCTTTGTGCATAGAAACCTTTTTGATCAGACTTGGACCACTAAGCTCATGATTTACAATACTACTTATACATTTTAATTACAATCACAGAGAAATTATGACTGCAGTTTCCAAAAGAATAATTTTATGGAGAGAATTCTTCCTCTTCTTTAAAACAGACATTATTAGATAGTGTGGATAAGTTTCATGGGTTGGTTTGAAATATATTTAACTGTTCCAAAGACAAGGAATGCATGTTTGAACTATTTATTATTTGTTGTTAAGCTGTAAAAAGCTTATTGCCTCTCCATTTACTTTTCTTAAAATCTGAAAGCAAAGATATTACATGGACAAGTTCTTGGATCATATATTGGAATATAGCCAAAAGGTCATTGCGGCTTAACAGGTAACAGTAATAGATGAGAATAATATTGAAAAGTACCTTTTCTTGTTATTTGGCATATTATTGGTATAATAGCCAACAGAGCTGAGGCCAGTTAACATCCTGTGTGCAGAGGAACTCACAGATTCACAGAATCAAGGGGCCATACCTCTGGAGTGTGTCTCTTCTTAGCCCTGCTCAGACCATGGTCACCTGCAGTTTGTTCAGAGGCAAAGTTTTTGTATAGATAAGAATGGAAACTCAGTGACCTTTTTGGGCAACTTGTTCTCATATTCAACTATCCTCACAATAAAAACTATTTTTTCCTGAGCTACAGTTGACTGTGTCTTGGCAAATGGAACTGACTTGGCCATTAACCAGTTCAGTGTTCTCTGTCCTTGCAGCAGTGAAACCATCCTGCAGTCATAGTAAACGGAGACACCTATTTTGGAGCAGATCTTTCCATCTATTAAACTTCATAAACAATCAAATCAAGAGATTCAAGTAAATTAAATAAATCTTGCTTCCTTTTTGGCCATTTTCTTGTTGACAAGAAAATAAATATTTTCTTAGTTTGAAGATGGAGTATCTTATTCAGCACAGTCAGATTTGTATCCAAAATCTCAAACAAAAGCAAGTCCAGATAGATAGATGGTGTAAGTGTTGTGATACGGCACGAAATG